CATGGTGTAAATCCCAAGAAACAAACTGGGATTTCACGCTTCATTCTACGGGAAGTTGGGATTGCACCGAACTTTGGATGTGACCAATAAGAATTGGGAACTTAAGCAACACGAATATGGATCTTGCAAGTTTAATGAGCAAGAAATGATTGTTTCGTATTTTGTTTGTTAAGTTAATCCTATCACTAATTTTTGAGCACCTTTTTTTGGGGGGACCCCCAACCGAGCAAATCCACGAATGACCATGTTTTTTTCAAATCCCAAACATGTTGAATTTGCTTCGAATCTTTGGATACAATTTCATTTCTTATTTCTTCACTATTTTTTTGTGCACTTCTCATTTGGCACAATGCCAGACTTTTGCTGGATTGTCGGATAGTCCCTTTGCTGGTTTTGTTTCAATCCGTTGTATTCGGATATCTATACCCAGCCCAGGATTCACATGGGAGGGTTGACCACAGCCCCACCATGGACCATGGTAGGCTTGGCATGAAAAAACTCGCCTGGCCAGCGGCTTAGCGCCAGGTATTTATGGCCCCTCTGCCAATGTGGAGCCCATCATGGCTCCCATGACCGAAGAGGCTTTTTGTTGGGAGGACACCTCGAGTGGCCGCAACAATATGGGGAAGTCATGGGAAGTCCAACGATGACGATGGGAAATACCGTCTTTGTTCAAGTAAATCACCGAAGGATAAAAAAAACGAAGAAATCGTTCAAAGACTAGCATGGAATCGCCAAGAGATAGGCTTGGAAGAGTGTTTTTTTTTTTAAAAAAAACTTTGTTCCATCATTCCAAATCATCCAGAAAGGAAGTGAATAACAGAGCCAGATATTCTCAACTTGAATCTTAATTCTCTAGCAGTCAGTACTGACCATCTATTGCTTTAAGCTAACTTTAAGCATTGACTTCAGAGTGTGAAACATGGTGAGTGGTTTGGCATGGTGGCATACATGCATGTTTTTGTCTGCTAGCATTTTCACCTATTTCTTTTGCCGTGGCCGTTTGTACAGCTTGGCCCAAGTAATAGCTTTTCGCATTTGCACCAGACGCTTCTGAGAAAACAGGCCGCTGCCTCTTGACCTTTAGCCTTTGTCGCTGACGCTACCCAGCGCTCCGCATTGGTAGCGGAGCCCCATGACTGGGGCTGAACGAAGCTCTTCGGCTTCGGAGGAGGAGGCTTCCTCCAGTTCCGGCCGAGCCGGACTCAAAAGGGAGGAAAGGCGGGCAGAGCCTCTCCCAGATGGCGGCCGCGCCGCAGATACCGGCAGAGCCGGGAGGACTGGAAGCGCCGGTCCAGAAGAAGGAGCTCCACGACAAGATGAGCCCAAAGGAAAGACCAAGCAAGGTCGTGACAAAGGGAAAGGCCGCCGAGATGATGACCAGTCCCGAGGGCGGCGCCCCGAGAAGGGACAAGGATCCCGCGAGAGTAGCAAAGGAAAAGGAAAGAAGGGTAAGAAGGGGTCCAAAGGTAAAGGCGGCAAAGGTAAGAACAAGGGCGGTGAAAGCAGACAAGAAATGGAAGACCGGCTTCGCCGAGAAATCCGCCAAGATCTCCAGCAGGAGTTGAGGCAGACCATCTCGGAGGAGATGAGAAGAGCCCTACAGGGTGCTTCCGGTGCGAGGCCCATGGACGATGGGACATCTGAATGGTCCACACCAAGGGAACCCCCGAGCTCGGTGGGTGCTCCACGGCCTCCGGAGCCATTGGGCCCGCCGCCAAAGGCAAGAGGTCTTGCCTCTCCACCACGGGAACGCCCACCTCCACGGCCGCTGCCGAAGCCGGTGAAGAAGGAAGCGCCGGAGCCAAAGGATCGTGAGAAGAAGCCTCCTAAGGAGACAGCGGAATCTAGCAAGCCGCCTGAGCAGGCGGCGCCTGCCAGAGGGTCGAAGGTGAAGAAGGAGGATTCACCAACAGATACCCACAAGAACCCAAAGAAGAAGAGCCGGGCTGCGCCCGATCCACCTCTACCTCCAGATGGTGACCCCGATTGGGATGACGACTCAGAGTACACCTATACTTACAGTGATGAAGGCCAAGAAGGGCCAGAGTCTGAGCGGCAGACCAATGATCCCACGGTGACGGTAACGGATCGGAGTGCAGCCGGAGGCTCCCGGCATGAAGGACCCGATCGTCGGGGTGAAAGAAGGGCAGATCGGCATGATCGCCGTGATGACCGTGACAGGCGGCGTCCTGGACCCGAGTTGAGGGAAGCTCCCCGCAGGCCGGAACGACAGCCGGTGGTGCCACCACCTCCTGCGCCACCCAGGCGCCGACGAAGGGATCGCCATGATGGAGATCCGCCGGGTGATGACGATGGCGCTGGCAGTGGGGCCCCAAGCAGGGATGATAGGTCGGCCTCCGAAGTTTCGACAGCCCGTACGGCGGAAGTCAAAGAGATGCTGGCCCAGTACAGCAGGCGGGACGACTCAAGAGGAAAGCCCTCTCTGTCCCAGGTGAACCACGTTTTTTTTCCAGATGATGGAATTTAGATTGAGGAGGAACTCACATCATTCATGCGTAGGCTATTCTGCTTGGTGCGTAGGTTTCGCGTAGGCATATACGTAGGATAATGTAGGAGAGGCTGCGTAGGCAGTCTCGCGTAGGCACTTGTTTGGATGTTTTAGATTGTTTGTTTCTGACCTCGAACTCTTGTTTTTCTTGGTGGCTTACAATGATTTTAAATGCAAACTGGATTGTATGGTTCATATGTTTAGCTGGAAGAAAGGGGAGATTAAAGAAACAAGCGCTTTTTCAGAAAATTACAAGTGCCAAGTTTTCGAACAGCCATTTTCGGTTCGGATTTTCGCGTAGGCTCCGCGTAGGCCCTCGCGTAGGAAACGCGGAGGCCCTAGGTCAAATTGTGGCCCGTAGCCCATCAAAGTCTTACCGTTTCACTTTTCTAATGTTTCCACGAGTTCATCATGACTGCCGATCACATCATGACACAGTGCTCCACTCTTGATGAGGCTTCCGCCTTCCTTTCACAAGTCACCCAAAGAATCGTCATCTTCCAATTCTTTCTATTCCTCTTCTGAACCAGAATTGTGATCACATCACGAGATCGTTGCAGCAACTTTCGCGGAGGCAACCGCGTAGGCACTTCTTGAAAGGTAACCCTCGCGTAGGCAGTTTTGCTTGGGAGGAGTGGTTTGCGTAGGCCCCGCGTAGGTGTCCTAATTTGTGTATTGCAGTTTAGCAAGGAAAAAAAACACAACTCAGGTGCGGCTGGAACCCTTCCGAGGTTCTCGGTCACAATACCAGACCTGGAAGCGCACTTTGGAGGCGCAAAGGTCCTTGTACCAGCTGAGCGATCCAGAAGTTGCCATGTTGGTGTACTTATCAACTCAGGGCGAAGCGAGGGCCATTCTGGATCAGCTGGACATAGCCGAGATGCGGGAGGAAGGCGGTCTGCAGCGAGTCATGCGACTTCTGGAGGAGTCGTTTGGCGCTCGCTCAGACGAGAGGTTCGAGGAGCGCCAGACCGCTTTCCATGTGTTCCGACAAACTCCGGGTATGTCCATCAGCGAATACATCTCCACGCTGAAGAGATTGCGCAATGAGTACTTGCGCGAAGACCCAGGTACCGTCCTGAGCGACAAGTCGTTCGCCCAGCGGCTGCTGAGCAGGGCGGGATTGACAAAACGCGAAAGGATGGACGTCTTTTTTTCAGCGGGCGGCAGATATCAGACCCATGATATCGAAAGGGTCCTCCGCTTCCGTTGCAGTCAAGTTCACGTGGATGAGAAACGATCGGACTACCGAAGCAGAGGAGACCGGGATGAAGACCGTCGAAGGTCCAACTACAAGAAGAGGCCCCGGCAGTTTCCCAAGAGGTCTGATCGCAGCAAGCCGTACAGGCCCACTCGCCACACTGCCAATGTGGCCGGCAACGAGGAGTCCCAGGAGGAGGACTTCGATGATGACGATGAGGAGGATGATCCCGATAATGAGGATCTGGAGATGGAAGCCCTGAATGCAGATGAGGGCAGCTACTATGAAGAGGATTCCGGGTGGGCCGAGGACGACAGAGATCGCGGATGGGACGAAGAATACTATGAGAACTCCGAATGGGGTGAGATGGACGACTTGCGAGAGGCTTATGCCGCAGGCTGGAAAGCCAAGAGCAAGTCTGCCGAGCAGCGATTGGGCAGAGGATATCGAGGAGGAAAGTCTGGAAGCAAGGGCAGTGGCAAGGGCAAGAAAGGTAAGGCCCGTCCTGCAGACAACAGGACTCCTGATGAACGAAAGCGAAACAGCCGCTGCAGCTCTTGCAAGCAGAAGGGCCACTGGCATGGTGACCCTGAATGCCCAAATGTACGCTCAGGGCAAGACCCTCCCCGAGAAGCACAATCGAGCTCGGGCACTCACTTCAACACCGGAGAGGAAGACCCCATCAGCCGGCAGAGCCGTCAGGATGCCCAAGTCCATCGAGTGAATTGGACGTTCATGGTTGGCGGATGGGATCTGGTTCAGAACTATGATAGTCCCTCCGGGAGTGAAAGCAGTAGCTCAGGAGAAGATGAACTGGCAGCAGCCGCAATGGCGTTGGCGGCTGCGCCCGCAGGAGAGTCCCCGGCACGCCCCAAGAAGAAGACCTTCAAGGTTGCGCTGAAGACTGTCTTGGAGGCCCTAGCCGCGGAGACGGACGATGACGAACTGCAGAAGCGGCTGAAGAAGAAAGAGTATAAAGCTGCCAGGGAAGCAGCTGAGCGACTCCGAAAGGGGAGCGGTCGCGGAAGAAGCCCCATGGAAACGGAGGTGACATCAGCGGAGATGCTTCAGATGTTACCCCATCTGACCAAGACAGAGAAGAAGACGCTCTACAAGGAGCTCAAGAAAGAACAGGAATTGGAGGCTGCCAAGTATCTTGACCCGGAGGCAACCGGGGACGAGATGAAAAGACCCTCGAAGAAGCACGCAGGCTACACGGCTGCGCCGAAGCCTCGACCGAGTGCTGCTGCGAGCTCGTCGGCTGCGCCGGCAGCACCGCCTCAGGAGATGCCTGAAGCAGTACGCAGGAAGAAGCTGGCGGAGTTCCGTCGACAGCTATATGAAAACAGCTTGGACAGAAAAGGACGAGTGCGTCCCAGTGAAGCGTCGGATTTTCCGACATCAGTCCAGGAGGAGTGCCATCATGAGTGGCCTGACCTCAGGTGGGGTGCAAATGGATCAGCTCACTGGGCGACGTGCCGGAAGTGTCACCTCAAGAGGGTGTTATACTATTCCAACGAGCACGGAGCACTGGTGGCAAACGAAGCACCTCCAGAGGTGTGGATGTTGGAAGGAGGATCAATGAATGTCATCTTGGACACCGGATGTCGCACGGCAGTGGCCGGAGCAGCCTGGCACCGAAGGTTCCAAGCAGAACTGCAAGAGCTTGGTTTGCCATGGGAGAAGGTGACCCATGAGGAAGTTTTCCGGTTCGGTGCTGGGGATCCCGTAGTTTCAACAGAAGCAGTAATCTACCCCATCACCTTGGGTGCGACTGGAATCCAAAGCTGGCTGCGCCTAGCTGTGGTGGGCAACACGCCACAGGATTCCCGAGTGGATTTGTGCCCAGCTCTGGTCGGACCAAGTGAGCTGGCACGTTGGAATGCCACCTTCAACTTCGGCGATAAAACGATGAGTATCGCAGACCGGCGACTGCCGATGGTGCTGTCCAACACACGACATCCAATCCTTCCAGTGTTGGAGCCAGGTCATAGCATCAAGGAGTGGCAAACGCCTGCCCTGATGGAGCTGAAGCAACGGCTGATAGCCGATCCATACAGCCTGGCACTGATGCAGCAGCACCTGGAGGAGGCTGCGGAAGAACATGACGGGGAGGCTCCCCGGGAGATTGATCCGGTCCCGCTGGACCTGGAAGAAGGCTTGGAGGCCATTGCTTTGGCCGATTGGCAGAGTGAGTTGGAGACTCAGGCCATCCATCAGTTGGATGAGGTACTTTGCCGGCTGCCGCCGAATGCACTGGTATCCAGCCTATCGCGAGAAGAGCAAAGCACCGACAGCGAAGGATCCATTAGCGAAGGTGAGAGTGAAACTTCTCACGATCCAGGGTTTGACCTGGAGGACAGCGATGGATCTTCCACCTCTTGCCAAGACGATGAAGTCGCAGAGCGACATATGGTGCTGACCACCGACATGAACGAAGAGAGCGAGGTGCTGAACAAAGGGCAGCGCCGCAGACTTTTGGATGCAGTCCACAAGATTGCAGAATCTGCAAAGGAGGAGCTGGTGGAAAGAGTCCCTAAGGGACCGTCCAGACCTCCAAGGCCCATCCGAAGGATGAGTGGTCTGCTGAAGGTGATCGAGATTTTCAACTGGTCTTGCATGATCTCGCAGGTAGCCACCTTGAGAGGATGGGAGACCTATGAGCCCATCACGTTGGATGCCGGATGGGATGTTTCAAGTCCTCAAACGCAGGACGCCGCAATGAAGTACCTCGAAGAGGTGGACCCTGACCTGATCATGATCGCATTTCCATGTGGTCCCTGGTCCGTAATGCAGAACATCAATCAGCGGACACCAGCACAGCGGCGAGCTCTTAGGTGGAAAAGGGCCATCGCTCGAAGGACCGTCCTAGCCTTCACTCGGAGGGTTGCTCTCTGGCAGAGAGGACGTGGCAAGGCGGTCGTGCTGGAAAATCCCGCTTTAGCCAAATCGTGGGATACAGAAGAAATCTCGGAGGCTACCGAGGGGCTGGATTTCGCCCGATTTGACCAATGCCGATTTGGCCTACGGCATCCCATGAACAAGATGCCGATGAAGAAGCTGACTCAGGTCGCAGGCCACACGGAAGTGATCCAAGAACTGAAGGAGGCACGCTGCCTAAGAGATCACCAACACCACCCCATAGAGGGTGGATTCAAAGGGGCGGATGGCAAGTGGCACAGCTTGAGTGAGCACGCGGGAGGCTACCCGGCTGAGCTCTGCCACTGCATCCTCAAGGGAGCCGAGGCATTTTGCCGTTCACAGGAGGCCCTTATTGGGGGTGGAGATGACTATGAGTTTGATGATACTGCGGCAGAGCTGCAGGACGGTGACGAAGCCCTCAGAGAGGAGGAACAGCTTGCCGAGCAAGAGGAGTTTCAGGACGACCCAAACCTGAAAGACAAGGATCTCGAGGAGGAAGAGAGGCATCCAGTCTCCGCAGAAGTGAGGAAAGCGGTGGAATTCACCCACCGCCAGCTTGGTCACCCATCGAGATCCACGCTCCTACGCATGATGCGGTTGAGTGGAGCGAGTAGTGAGGCCATCCGCTATGCAAAGCGATGGCGGTGCGATGTGTGTGCACAGAGGCAGCGACCTCGCCATCCGATGGCTTCGACTGCAACGACACGACCCTACGGGTTCAACCATCACCTGCACATCGACCTGAAGTTTGTCCACGATGTGAGGGCAAAGAGATATGTTGTGCTGTCAATGTTGGACCTGGGGACCAACAAGCACGACTGCGTGATGGTCAAGACCCGGCGCAGTGATTATGTGGCTGGCAAATTCATCCGCCATTGGTGCATGAGGTACGGAGTACCAGCTCGCATCACGCACGACCAAGGTGGTGAATTCGAGCAATCCTTCACAGCAGTGCTCGAGCAGTTTGCCATCGACTCCGATGTGACTGCAGCCCACGCTGGCTGGCAGCTGGGCGCAGGCGAGCGCCATGGAGAAATCCTCGGAGTAGCCATGCAGGCTATAGTGGATGAGCACTCTGTGGAAGGATACAGAGCTATGAAGCTGGCCCTAGCAGCGGCAACGATGGCGAAGAACGCCACCATTACCCGTGACGGGTATACACCCAACCAACGAGTCTTTGGGGTTGAGGTGAAGTGGCCGAGCCTCCTGGCTGAAGAGGTGGAGCCTTCATTTGCAGAAGGAGTCAATACAGACTCCGAAGTGGCTAGGGCGCATCAAATGCGCACCACGGCTCGTATCGCGCTCATCAGGAGTGACGTCCGCGAGAAAATGAAGAGGGCGATCCTGAGAAAACCGGCCACATCCCAGGGGCCATACGCTCCAGGAACGCGGATCTACTTCTGGGTACCAGGGGTGAAGTCCCGGTACAGTTCCCGCGGAGGCACATGGCGTGGTCCGGCGACCATCCTGATACAAGAGCGGGCGAAGCGATACTTTGTATCTTGGCGAGGTCGACTTCTCCTACTGGCAGAGGAGAATCTCCGACTCGCGACGCGTGAGGAGTTAGCACTCACGGAGGAAATCAAAGATGAAGTCCTTGACCTTCAGGACATGCTCCGAGATCCGATGAGATCCAATGCCTACTAAGACGTATAGAGACCTCAGAGATGCAAAGCCACCTCCAAGGAGGCAACATAAGCGAAGAGCGCCGGCTGCGCCGGAAACTATGGAAAGGAAGCGTGCCAAGCTCATGATGCGAGGCACGAAGTCGGTGCAGAAGCTTTTGCAGGATGCTGGAGCTGGAAAGGAGTTCAGGAAGAGAATAGCTCGGCAGCGACGCGGCCAGAAAAGGAAGGCAGTGAAGATTTCAGAGCCGCCTGCACCGAAAACGGCAGAACCTTTACCGGCGGAGCCGGAGGAGAAGTCAGAAGGCTATGACCCGAGCATAGCAGAGGATCCGGTAGAGGAAGGCCCTAGGCCGGAGGAGCCGGAGGCGCCGGACACAGTTGAAAGACCTGAGGATTCGGAAGCTCCGAACGAAGGTGGGGCACCCGAGCTCCAGGAAGAGCCAGGTGAGGACGATGAGGTGGCACCAGAAGATGTTCCAATCGAAGGGGACGAAATCACTGAAGAGGATGGTGAGGATGGTGACCCCTCACGGTTAGATCCCCTGCGGCTCATCCAAGAGCGTGCCAGCAGGGAATGGCAAGGTCTTCCGCCAGAGGCGAGACGTCAGAGGTTGAACGACGATGTACCTCTGTCTTTAAAGAGGAAGATCGCAGAGCGACGTGATTTGGATGACACTTTCGTCCCGGAGAAGCGCCAGAGGGTGAGTGACTCCCTGGTGGCTCAGGTGATGATGGGCGCTTCAGAAGATGGACCGTCCAATGAATGGGTTAGCCGATATGAGCTTACGCTGCTGAGGCAGTTGACAGGGCTGCCAATCTGTGCTGCGCGGTTGCACCGTGCTCCAAGAAAGAGGTTCATGAAACCTCCAAAGATGGTGTCACGGTCTCGGTTGACCATCATGATCGGAAGAGACCCCGTGGATGCCTTTGTGGTCTCCGAGAACCCTGAGGAAGTAGCGGCCAATCCGAGACGCAGGTCATCCATCGAGTGGAAAGGAATGACCATGTTTGCCAAGGCTGCGCCTGAAGATAAAAGGGCACGGATGTACCCAACATACATCCAAGGTGCTCAAGGTCTTTATGAGGCCAGTCTGACCTACGAGGAACGCAAGGCGTTCGAAGAGATCTGGGTTGAGGACACCAGGAATTGCTTGGTGGCAGAGATCATGGCTTTGAAGCTCAAGGCCAGTGGCAAAGAACTCAATCCAAAGGCTTTCGAGAAGGATGAATGGGAAAAGTTCAAGGTCTCTGACCAGAGAGAATGGGAACAGTGGATCGGCAACGCTGTCATGAGAAGAGTTCCCAAGGAAGAGGCGGCGTCCATTCCAAAATGGAAGGTGTTCAAGTCCCCACTCCGAATGGTCCGAACGAACAAGAGTGGTGGAGTGCTGTTACCTCTGATCGCAAAATCGCGATTAGTGGTGCCAGGTCATTTAGACCCTGGCCTGGGTGCGTTTCGCACCGATGCACCAACTGCGGCCTTGACGCCGACCCGCTTGGCAAAAGCGGTGGCAGCCGGAAGGGGCTGGCAAGGTTGGAGTTTTGACGTGACGACGGCTTTCTTGTCAGGAGATAGCACCAGCCGTGAGATCTACGTCAGAGCCCCGGAAGAAGGCCTGCCGGCCGCGAGAGGAGAGCCTCCGGTAGAACCGTTCGAGCTGCTCCAAATTTTGAAGTCCGCCTATGGACTGACTGAAGCCCCAAGGCTTTGGTATTTGCGGGCTTCACGCACGATCCAAAAGACCCCTCTCAAGGAGCTGGCTGCAGCCAAGGCAGTATTTGTGGCCGCGGAGAAGGGAGTCTCGTGGGCGATCTTGGTGCTCCACGTGGACGACGGCCTGCTGCTAGGGTCTGATCAGGATGTGCGATTTCAACGGTTGAAGGAACAGATCAATGGACTGTTCCGAATCAAAGAGTGGAAGACCGTTCCACTCACATTTCTGGGAGTGAACCTGGAGAAACAGGGTGACACGTGGGTTGACGACATGACGGCCTATATCAAGGCAATCAAGATCCCAGAGATCCAAAAGAAGAAAGATGACATCCCACTGGATGCTCAGGAGCTGACTGCCTTTCGGCAGCTCGTCATGCGCCTTCGATGGCCTGCACAGCTGGCTGCGCCCCAGCTATTGTATGAGGTGTCACTTTTGGCACAGAAAGTTTCTAAGGCGACGCGCAAGGACTTCAAGGACGCCTTGGCGTTGCATGCCAAGTTCCTGACGGAAGTGGATGAGGGTAGAGCTGCGCTCAAATACCCAAGGATGAATGGCGTGCCATATCTGGTGACGTATTTCGACGCGTCACTCGGCCGAGAGCCCGAAGGACGCTCTCAACTGGGAGCCATTCATTTCCTGACTGATGAGGGAGTGATTCACGGGCCGCGCCCAGCTGCCGTGGTGGAGTTCACAACCACCAAGTCCACCAGAGTTGTGAGAAGCTCAATGGCAGCAGAATCTTGCAGCCTAAGCGTGGCTGTGGACCGCCACATGTATGCAAGGCTGATCCTCGACATGATGCTGAGAGGAACATACGAGGTCAAGCCTACTTGGCGTACAGATTGCCAAGTCCGTGGTGGTTTGGTCACAGACGCCAAAAGTCTGTATGATCATATGTCCACGACAGGACAGATCCCTCAGGAGAGACAGACGATGCTGGACCTCCTTGCTGCTAAGAGCCTGCTGGAGCAAGAAGCCTTTCGGCTCTTTTGGGTGCCCACACATAGGCAGTATGCCGATGTCCTTACAAAGAAAATGAAGGACCTACTGTGGATGGAGTTCATCCAAACGGGTACCATCTCGCTGCGCGAGACCCCAGCAGAGAAGGCTCTGGAGGAGCATCGTAAGCGCCTTCGACAAGGTCAACGGCAGCGCCGGAAGACCAAGTTCAAGGCTGCAGCTGCAGCCACTAATTCGTGACGGCCACGCCAACACTCTCTTTTTGGAATGTGAAACATGGTGAGTGGTTTGGCATGGTGGCATACATGCATGTTTTTGTCTGCTAGCATTTTCACCTATTTCTTTTGCCGTGGCCGTTTGTACAGCTTGGCCCAAGTAATAGCTTTTCGCATTTGCACCAGACGCTTCTGAGAAAACAGGCCGCTGCCTCTTGACCTTTAGCCTTTGTCGCTGACGCTACCCAGCGCTCCGCACAGAGTTCTAATTTTTTTTATGAGGGCGCTAGCTGCTAGATTTGACTCTGGAATTTAAATAGTTCCTTTCAGAAATTCGGAATTCCACATTGAAAGCATATCATTTGCTTCTTTCAGAACATCAGTTCTGTGGTTGCATGAACAAGTCAAAGAAACAGAGTGAACAAGGCTTGACTGCAGAGCTGTTTCCTTCCGAATGTGTCTCCCGCACACAGGCCCTGCGAAGAAATCCTAGAAACCAAAGTACGACAGGAAACAAGGAACTTGGGGCACCAAGAAGGAAGCCAAGGAATCACCAGTAAAGTGCTGAATGTTTAAAGGCAAAGTGGTGTTCAGAAATGATACTGTAATGATAAAAAATGTAGAAAAAACACTTAGATGAATTCCAGAGTCCATTCCTTCCTGATGTGTCTACATCATCCCGGGATGAAGAATCAACTCTTGGATTCACCCTCTTCCCAGGCAGTTGTGGAATAGCAGAATGGACAAAGATGCCAGCACCATTTAATACCCTCTGGTTATGACTAACATAGCCATGGAAAATGGCCCATTTATAGATGGTTTACCTATTAAAAATGGGGATTTTCCATGGCTATGTGAAATAACCAGATGGTAGAGTTTTTGCAGAATGCATGAAACATCATTGAACATGTTTAAAACTATTATGTTATCTACGTACATGCAATGCATATATCACAGAAAACATCAGATAACCATAGATAACCCATATTGCAGTCCTCTTCCCACTGCCAGGCGTGTGTGCTTTGCACCACTAAAGTGCAGCTGGTTGGCGAGGTCGGGCGGAGATCCATCAACGGGGGCAAAGGCAGCTCGTTCATAAAGGGTGCTATGGCAAGTTTAACCTACAGAAAATGGGGATTTAATGGGAATTGAATGGGAAAAAATGGATGATACTGTACCTCTGAACATTTGTGACGTCGCTGCGCTATGGAAGACCTTAATTTGAATGGGTAGATCATCTAATGAAACATGCTCCATTTTCAATAGCTATGTTAGTTTATCAGGTATCCAGAGGGTACCATTGGAAGACGGAACATGATGAACAGACCTAGCAGTATCATCCGTACTGATACCACATTTGACCTCTAAACATCATCCCTATGTTTGGGTGGCCTATTTTCAGACACACCCATGTGTAGACAATCACAGCACGCTTCAACACAGCGATGTAACCAATCAATGTGGATATGAGTGCAGATATTTCTGATATGCTACCTTCCAAAAAAGGAGGATTGATTTTTTCTGGTAGGGGGAATCAAAATTGGTATTCTTGCTTCAACAATCTTCAACATGTTTCAACCATACCTGGGACGTGTGGTTGAGATGACTAGTATTTAGTATTATTATTATTACTCTATATATATATATATACATGTATATATATATATATATATATATGTAGGATTTATATATATATACATTATATATACTATATAAATATATATATATATTATACAGAATTATACCTATTTATAATGTTTATGACATGTTTTGGATGGCTTAAACCACCAAGCATTTTCGCATTTTCTTTCCAAGAAAGGAACCACCCACCCTATAGAGGCCACGGTGATCTTGGAGCGCTCCGAGAGCGTGGCGCTGGCTTTCGTTGGGGTTCTAGAAACAGAAGGAAACCCCATAGGCAAACCAGTGAGTTGGTTGGAAAACCATAGGAAAAGCCTGAACAAAACCTACCATCTGGTAATTTAACGTAGCTATTGAAAATGGCGATTAATAGTGGATTTTCCCATTAAAAATTGTGATTTTCCATAGCTATGTTAGTTTACCAGAGGGTAACTTTGGTTTCTTTCCGAAAAAAATGTCAAGAGCCGTCAAGAACCATTTTGTTTTGAACATTTAGACTTCAACGTCTTCTAACGCGAAACATTGGCATGTTTCAAGCCATGGAATGTCTAGACCTAGGGATGTTGGATCAGAAGACAGGGTCGCTCCAGTCCGTTCCAGGTAAAATGATAACCGCAAGGCCAATTTACCCCTTGTTGGGGTGTAATCCTCCAAGATGGATCAAAGCCCCCTACATTTGTTGCCACATGTTCATGGCTTAAAACTGGGATGCACTGTATCAACAAACATGGCATTTACCCCCTGGTCAATAAACAGTTGGACCCTGAAAATAGCCAATTGTTAATGGAAACTCGTCTTCCAACCCCGACAACTGCCAGGGTCTATGATGCAGCAGTTATTTTTTGGGGGGTCGAGTGCAATCACGTTAAGCTCATGAAATCTATGGATGGGTCATGATGGGTCTACACCCAGCCGTTCTCGCTGCAAGACCCCAAGGGGGTCTGATCCGACAGAGAGAGGGAAATACAGCGAAATCTTGTCTAGTAGATATTCCTGTAGATATCTTGTTTCCTGTTTATACTGACACAAAATTATTTGGTTGGTGGTCTCAGATTTATCAACCCGATTACACAAATAAATGGTGGGAATAATGTGAAGCCAACCAGTTGAGGAAGCACCCACAAGATAGTTGCCCGTTTTCTATAGTAACTAGTTGTTTTTTCCTGCTGCTGTAGCTGTTTTTTTCCCGGCTCGCAGCAGCTTGCGATGCTGGAGTGGTAGGACCCAAAGAGCGCCAGAAGGAAACTTAGAAGGACAGCTTCATACTTGGATAGCAAGAAGCTGAGTGAATAGTAATTTGATTAGTGTGACGAAAAAAGTTTGGATTCAACGATGCAGCCCATATACGCTATATAAATATCTTTGAGGGCCTGCAAATAATAGTCTTCACGGATCACGGTTCCAGTGGAGGTGTTGTCAAAATCCGAAATCGAAACAACAAGTCTTCACGGATCCACAGTTTGATTTCTGCTCTCATTTCATCACCATTTCAACACCGTTTTACAGCCACAATTACCACGGTAAACGTGTATCGCTTCTGCCATCCAGCTGGTAGCTCCAGTGGCGATCCACTGGCGATCCTTGGCGTAGCTCCACCAAGGGGCACAACGGATGTGAGATCGCCATGCTACCCATGGGTATATCGGTATATCATTGGATATCCTATGTTCAGCCATGGCAAACGCTACAGGTGTTGTTTTTTTAAAGCCATATATTTCCTGAAAAACATGTGAACAAAAACAAAAAAAAACGGACAACATCCCAGTAAAGGTTGAACCTTAAGCAGATGACCCGCTGGTGTAGGGCGGAAGATTTTGAACTTTAAGAAGCAAATACACTGTAAAATATCACTGGTAAAAGAACATGTGTATACGTATACGTGTGTGTATATATATACAGTATATGAATATAAAGACGGTTCACACCACGTGTTTTTTGTGATTCCCTTCATTGCGGTAAACGCTGTGTGATATTAAAAAAATCACCGACAGATCACCACTGCTCAATCCAAAGATTTTGATATTTCGGCAAAACAGAAGGGCAGATAAAAATGTCGTCCAAATCCATCTTTAGGGGTACATTCAAGTTGGTTAAAATATCGACATCTTCATGTTCATCGATTTGTCCACATGAATCACCAAATCAAAAAAAATGATGTGATAAAATAGAGTGTTTCTTATCCCATAGGATCCATGTATGGTATATATGCTAACATTGGGGGTATATTGATGGTAAATGTTACCATATATAGCATACATGGATCCTATGGGTATTGGTTTATCTAGGTGACCACTTAAAACCCATGAGTTCACCTCAGCTGCTCGAGAGCCATTTTTTGAGGATGGCCAGATGGAGGATGCTGCCGAAGTAAACGATGACAAGGGACCCCCGAAGTAAAGGGCCTCAGCGTCTGTGAATGGAGTGGGTGGTCGCAATGGGAATGTGGGATTCACCCAATGTCATACCCTCCGGTAATTTAACATAGCTATTGAAAATGGCCATTTATAGTTGTTTTTCCCATTAAAAATGTTGATTTTCCATAGCTATGTAAACGTTTACCAGAGGGTAATGGGATACCGTACGATATTAAAGGGATCATATGGATTTACTATTTATCGATCTGGGATAGGAGCATCATCAGTTCATATTATGAAGCTCCTATCTCAATATACATCAATATACCATATTATATCCCATGATATGATTATCATAATTTATATTTGGATGGGAACATCATGGATGATTCTGGGATAACTTGCCTTGGTGATGCAAAATCCTTGTGGTGAAACCTCCTCCAAGGCTTAGATGCATAGAGGTTTATTCTGATCCCCAAATTGTTAATTGATGGGGCGGTTTAGTATTGTACCCCATTATGTAACATTATAATACATTATATAACATTAGAACATTATTATACATTATATATATAACATTATAACATTATATATAACATTATATATAACATTATATATAACATTATATATAACATTATATATAACATTATATATAACATTATATATAACGTTATATATAACATTATATATAACGTTATATATAACATTATATATAACGTTATATATAACATTATATATAACATTATACACAACATTATATATAACATTATATATAACATTAAATGTAACATTATATATAACATTATATAACATGTATTCGCCATTTGTTGTTTCTTTTTTTAATAGGGGGTGTACTTAATTTTGACCCATCATGCTGGCGGATCAGCTGTCAGTTGACAACATGGGATGAATTTGGATGAAACTGGCTTAAACATGATTTACAGTGTGGTGGCCCATAGTTACCGAAGTTGGTTTATAAGTCCAATAACTATGGTTTATAGGTGATATATCTATAGCTAATGGGGTTATAACCCATTTATAACTTGGGGGGGCACCACCTTGTAGGCAACGATATCACGAACCAGCTGAAACAGAATGAAGACCCATTGCAACATGATCTTTTGCAACTATTCGATGTGAATTTAACAATTTAGGCTTTGATATAATATATATATATAGAGAGAGAGAGAGCGAGAGAGAGTGCATATGTTTGTCGGCGATTCTTTGGCCAGTTGCTTGGCGATTTATGCATGGCACAGTGCAGACTGAAGCAGCATTGATGCTGATTGAACCATTTCTCCGTTCTTGTTGTATCTATCAAATAACTATCCTATCAAATGTCATCTTCCAAACCACATTTACATGCATTTGCATCCGTGCTGCTCGAATCATATTCACTCCTACGATTCTACAATCTTCCTCTTGGTGGACCCTTTTTTGCGATATCTTGACCCTGATTTTAGCATCGGTTTACACCTTAATTCGACCTTTCTTTTTTTTTCAGCTAAAAAGTGGTTCCAAGGTGTTCGGCCTCGGCAAATGGGGAGGTTGGGGATGGGCATGAGACTTTGGGGATGGTGACTGGTGACTGGTGAATCTGGGAGTCCAAGTGCCTTGAATTCCGCCAAGTGAACGCCAGAACCACATGCAAAGGGTGGTCCAATGTTGTGCATTTGGCCGCCAATGACCCAATGAGTTTAGGGAGCTTGAAATTTGCAGCTATGTTGTCGGGCATTGGAAAGCTTTCAACTTTGGCAGGACGAAATTGAAGCAGAAGAACATATGAACCTTAAATGGTAACCAGCAGAATCCACAACATGGTGACATGGTGTCGTTTTGCGTGTGATGTGGTGTTCTCGTTAAGCTTTTTTTTGCACATTCCTGCTCATGATCGAGCCATTTGTTCAGCTGATGTCACTGGCAGGCTGAAGTCACCCAAAGGACAGAGGCCGAGGGAACAAAGGATGAAGATAACGTGGAGGATGAGGATGTCGAAAGAAGTCAGAAGGTAGAAACAAGTGAGGATGTTGCAAAGGTGGAGGAGAAAGCAGTTGTTGAAGAGGAGAAGGCCGTGGCTGAGGAGGATAAACTTGAAGAAAAGACTGTAGTTGCAGAAGAAAAAACGGATGAAGAAGAGAAGGTGGTTGAAGAGAAGGTGGTTGAAGAGAAGGTGATTGAAGAGAAGGTGATTGAAGAGAAGGTGATTGAAGAAAAGGTGGAGGAAGAGAAGGTGGAGGAAGACGAAAAGCTGGCTGAGAAGAAAGTAGAGGTAGAAGAGAAACTGCTTGAAGAGGAGAAGGTAGAGGAGACAACAGTGGTGACTCAAGAGGACAAGGTGAACGACAAGGAGACGGACTCCTTGGAGACAGAGGAGAAGGCCCAAACCGTTGGCAAACCGTTGGGCTGTGCAGCGGCTCAATGGGAGTACACTACGGATCCCGAAACTCTTTGGTTTCAAATCTATCTGAAAGAGATTTAAGGCCTGATATAACTATATATATATATGGATGTTTGGAACAGCAAACACCTATCAGATCATCATAGATCATCTATGTAAACCAAATCTATAGCGGAAAACACAATAATATTTTATCGATTCATTGTGTCATATTGTGTCATATTGTGTCATATTGTGTCATCTATCAATTCCCATTCAATGTAACATTCCCGGTTGGTGGTTACATTTTTTTATTTTCCATATATGGGATAGTCCTTCCCATTGATGTTCATATTTTTCAAGATGGTTAAAACCACCAACCAGATTCCCATTGAGTTTATCTATCAATTCCCATCCATCTATCAATTCCCATTCATATTGCGTCATCTATCAATTCCAGCCACTAATACAGAGTCATTTTTCATGATGTCATAATCTATCAATTCCCATGTTATTCCCATGTTATGACATTGATAGATTATCTATAGCAATATGGGGACAATTATCCATACAATTTGTCATTCAAGATGGTTACCCTCTGGTAAACTAACATAACTATGGAAAATCACCATTTTTCATGGGAAAATCCACTATAAATGGCCATTTTCAATAGTTTTTTGTATGTTTACCAGAGGGTAAAACATGGTTAAAACCACCAACCAGATTTCCCATTCATCGATCATTCCCGGCGAGATTTCGGCTGTACCTCAAGCGGTGGACCCCGTTGGCGGGAAGCTGGAGGACAGACGGGATGCCCAATGGGCTTTTTGAACCAGAGAAGCGATGGTTTCTATCGATGAACATCGCCATGTTTATTGGGAAAAAATCATCATACCAGTGGTTAACTAATGGTGAATTAATGGTGAACTAATGGTTGGAAACGTGACAATTCTGGGTGAATTATAACGACCGAACCCTGTTCTCCCGAGCCCTGGAATCATGGGAATTGGATTCGGGAAATCATGCCCTTTTATGGCCGCAAGATTCAGGTGAGTGAAATATTATAATTTACCCAGATCATAGCCTCTGGTAAACGGGCGAACATAACCGTTGCTGCTGAGAGTGCCCTTGGATGATTTCTCCAAATATGATTTCATTCCCACCGTGACTGTTGGGTTTAAACCTCTGGGTCGGCTGTATCGCGGTGGGTTTACATAACGAACTGGAAGGATCCACCATGCTATCAATGGGTAAATCCACGAACTAAATCACAATTTTCAATAGCAAACTGTTTGTTTACCAGAGGGTAAATCATCTGCCAATGGCAATTTTATAGCCATAAATTATTCATAAATCATCTGCCAATGGCCATTTTCAATGCTATATGTATAGCTATGTTTAATTGCCGAAAAGGATCTGGAGTGCGCCGAAATGGCCAAAGTGTTCAGTGGATTATCAAATAGGTTGGGATATCATGGGGATATACCAAAGTCGTAAAGTTACTATCAGGATATGTATATAACCATGATGGGAATGGGTGAGACATATGTGTGCCACTGTCGAAACATGATAAACATTTATTATTTTCCCATCTAGAGGAATGGTCATGTTCCCATTCATTGGTGAAAATAAACTTTATATATGCCTCAATGATTGTGGATGATGGTACACTGCATGCCCCTTAAGCCGTACCCACAGATCTATATATATGAAATTGAATTCTCAGTTTCACATGTTGTTTGAAACAAACAATCGCACACACACATATATATATATATCATATATATATAATACAACATTATATCACTAGAATGAAGTAGGTTGACTGAAAATGGGCCCCAAAAAAACTGCAAAAAATCATCGTTTTGCCGTTTTGCCCATGATTTTCCCCATTGGTATGACTTTTGGGGGTATCCTCACCATCAGGTCGCCAGATATCAATGGTGACAGGAGACCAAAGCTACTCCTGAAGACGAGGCCGTGGATCATTTTTTTTCGACCTTGGATCTTGATTTCATATGATTTCTATATCTGGCTTTGTCTGAAAATAGGGGATACCCAATATTTGTCAAATAGCCATGGGGAAAATGGGAAAAATTGGGAAAATGGGGAAAATGGTGATAATCCATTGGAATGTGGGGTACCCTATTTTCAGACACGCCCATATGGCTGTGTGTCAAACTTGGGTATCCTCAAATCATCCAGTCGTCATGGATGACCATGACTTAGCATTGAACCCCACGGTGACGACTGAGGATCCACGATTTTATGAAACCCCCTATAACTGGATATGTCTCAAAATTGGGTACCCCAAGAATTAGAGAATTGATGCAAAAAAATGACTACCATCTGTGGTCCCCTGGATATTAAATTTAGACCCATATCCATATATCTATCATATATCGTAGTACGAGGTGGGGCCTTCTAGATAGCTAAGTTGGTGCAAATAACTGGGCTTATGCGCGATACAACTATAATAGTATCGTTATTCGGGCTTATAGGCAAACTTATAACAGGGGGACCCACTTTCCACACATGTATATATATAGAATAACTATATTCAATATACATTAATATATATAATATTATAATTATTATATATATACTGTATATACACATGCGATATATATATATATACACATGCGATACTGTAGCCTTCAATGCTGACCGTTCCCTCCATCTGTTTCGTTGCTTCCTGCAGGCCAGTGAGGAAAGCCCATCAGATCAAGCAGGAGCTGGGAATAGCCTGGGCTTTGGTACCTGAACATCGTTGGATATGGTTAGTAAGGGTTACCCCCAAGGGCCATGATGACGATGATGATGATGATGATGATGATGTGATGATGGCGATTTTGATGATGATGATGATGATGATGATGATGATGATGATGTGATGATGGCGATTTTGATGATGATGATGGTGATGGTGATGATGATGATGATGATGATGTGATGATGGCGATTTTGATGATGATGATGATGATGATGATGATGATGATGATGATGATGATGATGATGATGATGATGATGATGATGATGATGACGGTGATGATGGCGATTTTGATGATGATGATGATGATGATGATGATGATGATGATGATGATGTGATGATGGCGATTTTGATGATGATGATGATGATGGTGATGGTGATGATCCTGATGATGATGATGATGATGATGATGATGATGATGTTGATGTGATGATGGCGATTTTGATGATGATGATGATGTGATGATGGCGATTTTGATGATGATGATGATGATGATGGTGATGGTGATGGTGATGGTGATGATCCTGATGATTATGATGATGATGAAGATGATGATGATGATGATTATGATGATGATGATGATGATTCATCCATTTAGTGGCCTTCCAGTAAATGTTCAGACAAAGCCACATGGGTTTAAGCAAGAGACACAGGGGTTTAAATGACAAAGACGATGGTGAATTAAGTCCCATCATTGACAATGAACCCACAAATCGAGATTGAAATGAGTGCCATGTTGTCCGGGTAGCTTTCTGGACCCACCTTTACGGCTCATCATAACGTGGTGAACCCACTAATTATAATAAACCCCCCCCCCAAGCCATCATTTTTATGGGTCGTATAAACCATCCCCAGCCATGGTTGGTTTTTGTTGGTTCACCACAGTATTGACTATGAAAGAAACATCCATATAACTTATGGGATCTTCTGGGTAAATATTGGCCGAACTTTACAGGTTAGTGAATGATGGCCTCCTATACCCACAATGTGAGGCCCCCCAATGATGTTTGTTGGTTTTTAAACCCCAGTAACTATAGTTATAAGTACCATAAACCATAGTTATTGGAGTTATAAACCAACTTGGCTATCTTGGGGGCCTCACATCGCAGATAACTTGGAGTTCTCCAAAAAGAAGTGAGCCATCAATGAAGGAATCTGGAAATGGAAAGTCATTTGGATATGTTGTCCATGTACAACGTGGCATAATTATTTAGTAATGTGGTAAACCCAAGAAACAATTCCCAATGTTATTATGATATGCTGTTTTCATGGGTAGAAATCATCCCCAAGCTATTCCTTGTGGGATCGGTCGTGAAATGATTAAGGGCCTACTCGTTGGTTCACGTTGGGTTTCTCGTGTCGATTTGCTTAGAATCCCCCGAAAAAAAAAACAGTATTACCCTCTGGTACACTAACATGACTATGGAAAATCACTATAAATGGCCATTTTCAATAGCTATGTTAGTTTACCAGAGGGTAAACAAACCGTGCCAGGAGAAGAACAGATTCAGCTTGCCGAACCAGAGGCCGATGTTCCTTCAGACATGGATGTTGAACAAATCGGAGGGGCCCAGAGGGCGGTTCCTAAAGCTAAATTTCAACAGTTGTCAACTACATAAAATTCATTGCCAAATAATGTTTATAGTGTATATAATAGGTGATGTATAGATGATTTTATACCAAAAATGCAACACAACCCTGATTTGTTTGTGGAGTTTTTTGGGATGAAAGCAAGCAACCGGTGCAAAGTACAAATCCACCTGGCTGACTTCATTTGCGCAGGGCTGGTTCCTAGATGTTCCGGTTTCCCTGTTGACGAGTTCTGATTTTTCTATATGAAATTTCATTAAATTTATTATTGCATAGTGTTTCATGAAAACTTTTAGATTGATTTTTTTAAGAAATATGTTGGGCACAAGTCGCCAAATAGTGCATACATGGATCATTTGGGTGTTTTTGGCGCTGTGGTTTTATGGCAGCCTTGTCGCTGCATCACCGTTTTTGTGGCGTGGATTAATCCATGGCTTCTCCAAAGAAAGGGCCAGAGAGAAGTGTCTTCCCATTGAGGGTCCCAACATCGTCCAAAAATGGCTGGTTGTTCATAGGAAAAGCATGGAAAAACATGGGGGGGGTCATCGATTTAAGACACCCCCCATATCACATCCTGAATAAAACCATTCTATCTTTAGGGGATAACTAAGGTTTGCTGGGCATTGAGTTTGCTAGGGACTATTGGTAGTACTCAAAATCTTTCGAAGTCATTGCTGCATTTGATCCCAATACAGGTTCAAGCATCAAATCCCTTTGTTTCTGTCATTTTTGTTGGTCAGTTGTTGCATGAAGGAACAGGAACCACCAAAAGATGAAGGAGAAGAGGCCGCTGATTTGAAAATCACTGTCAGGGGAGGATGCACATCGAATTGTCCCAAGATTTCGGCATGTTTTTGGTGCAGTGGTGAGTCATGTTTTGTCAACAGAGGCTCCGTTTTGGATGCATCATTGTGGGATGACCATACACCATATCCCAACATGGCCCGTGGGGTATCACAGTGTTGGTCCAAACATGTCTTGATATGAAAAAAGGTGATGTTAGTTTCCTGTGATTTCGGCTGAAGAACCTGGAAGATCCTGGAAGTCAGTGGGTGGGCTGGGTTTGCCACATGAGTTTATGTGGCGATGTATTGCATTTTGCGCTGAATCCCTACCTGTCCAAATTTTAGGAGAAGGACGGGCCAAAGGATGAGGGAGAGGCAGTGAACTCGGGCAAGCGAAACCCGAAGTTGTCCAAGAAAATGGGTGGTTGGTTGTATAAAATGGTGAACCCCAAAATGATTCAAATGTGATTATTTTTAGAGGGGAAACGCTTGGATTTGGGGTACCGGTACGGGTATCCCAAATTTAGGAACCGCCCCTAAGTGACTTTTTTGGGAATCTTGAGCCAATCTGATGCAAGTTGCAACACGCTAGACAGCAAGTTGTGATGCGACTGGGCGGAAGTCGTATGCTCATGCTGGAATCTTACAGGGATGGATTTCAAGCACAAAATGACCTGGATAGCCACCCAAATACCTGAACATGTTTTTTTCTTACTAAATCAAGCTAATACTCTCCAAAGTGACATAGCTATGGAAAATCCATGGACATCCACGATTTGTAGATGAAGGATGATTTTCGAGACACCCATGCATTTCCATAGCGATTTGCATGAGTTGAAGAAGCATCACCATCCTGTAAGGTTTCATGAGCTGTATCCCTCGGAGATGTTGCGCCGTGATTTTCCATGTGAAGGCCAGAGAAAGACCAAAGGATGAGGGAGAGGAGGCGAAAACAACACTCTGGATTTAGGGCCTATTTATGGGTGAGCAATGCCCAGTTGATCCCTGTTTGTTGAGTCGCTTACATATGGCTGTATATGGGTATAAACTATACTGCTGTATTTGGTTTGAACATGATTATTCTTATCCACTATGGGTCTCGTACTGTTGTTGGTTGTGTGTTTAAGTTGGTGGGTTGAACTGACTGGCTGACTAAGAGACAGACCAGACAGGGCGCTGCTGAGGCAAACTCCTGCCAATGAACCAATATATATATATATATGGGTTTGTTTGAAAGCCATAAATCCGTCACCAATTATCATTATCCCCATTAAAATGACCATTTGGGAGGTATACCCCATTTTCAGGCACAGCCATATGATTTGCATGCATTTGAATGATTTAGAAAGATGTCGAGCGATCCTATCATGACCTGCAGATACAAAGCCATCTTGGCAGATGTCAAGCAGGGTTTGAACATGTTTCCAACTGGTTCCGTTCGTTTTATTGTTTGAAATCAAACTCAAATAGACCCATAATTACCACTATTGACTATTGACCTAGTATCTATCTAACATCCATTTAGTATATTTAATGGAAACCACTTTATCAAGTAATAATCCATGTGTATATATATAGTATTATATATAATTATATATTTCCCGTATTGACCCATGGAAGCCCACATTGACCCATGGAAGTACTAGTCTCAGGCCCGGCCGCTGACTCCTCCAACCTTGGCCGTTAAGGCGGAGAAGGTTGAGGTGAACGGAGAGAACACAACCCCCATTGATGAGGAGAAGGCCTGATTTTTGTTGGTCCTGATTTGTTACTTGAGCTTTGTTGATTTCATCAACATATATGATGTTTATGGGTGAAATGATAGCTTTATATGATGTTTATGTGATTATATGGGTTGATATTGTCATCATCTAGTGATATATGATGTTTATGGGTGAAATCAAAATCGCCACATTGGATAATATATTAGATCTCAATCACATTCAATCATTTGGTATGTTCAATTTGTGCTCGGTATATGTACGACTGATATATGACAAGCCTCTCCTTTGACTAGCCATCAGTGCTGTCATGTTTTGGGCTATTGAAACCCATCAGCTTTGGAACAGATCACAAATTTGCCCCAGTTCTATCCTCACAATGCTGAAACTTATTGAAATCTCCATATTCGGAGTAGCATCATCATTCTTCCGGAGGATTTATCATATCAACCCCGGACTCATCAACCCTGGTTCATTGATCAGGGTTCCCACAGTGACAACATGGTTCGTAAATGGTATCCGCTGGTATCCCCAAAATAAGACAGCCTTTGGGGTCGACTAATCTGTGGGATGTGCTACTAGGTATCAGGCTACTAGGCTATTTCTTCCATTCGCGAATATCATAATATATAATATATATCATCATATCTGGGGTTTCCTAAGCCCTAAGGGGGTACCAAAGAATAGCTGGATGGTGTCATCGAACATCTAAAAATCATTGCTGGATGATGGGCCTGGGGGTACCTTTCTGACTTGGACTCCTCCATATGGATGGATGAATCATGTCAGTATGGCCAAGTTTTCCGAGGGTGTTCTTTGGTGATGTCTAGGTTGCCATGTTGCCACAACCAGTACTGAATCCATCTGAAAGGGCAATTCTATATTCTGAATTCTCTGTTGAATTCCAGAAAAGAACGGGCAGATAAAAAAAGTTCCGGTTTGTCCAAACATAGGGGATACTCCAACACCATCTCAATGGGAGCAATGTTTTTTCTCAACAAATGAGACGGAAACTGGGTTCTCTCTGAAATTATCCTAGCGCCATGTTCTATAACAGTTTGCATTGCTTATATCCCCTGAACTATATATTAATATATGGTTTCCCATAATATGTCCCAAGTGTATCATCACTCTTCTTAGATCCCCATTGTCCCACCAGATCGTTGCGTTCCTTGCGTTTTTGTTTGAGGCCAAAGAGCAGATGCAAAAACTCGTGCGGAGACTTGGGGGGCACCGATGATTTTTTGTTGACCAGAAATTGTTTTTTTTTGGCCACCCACTCCATACCCTCTGGTAAACATACAAAAAGCTATTGAAAATGGCCATTTATAGTGGATTTTCCCATTAAAATTTGTGATTTTCCATAGTTATGTTAGTTTACCAGAGGGTATATTAGATTGCACTATAGATTTTTTGATTTTCCTGATGTTGAAAATATGTGCGCCTGTGCGCTTTTTTGCTTTTGGAACACGTTTGATGTTCAAAGCGCAAGTCTAGCTAGATAGCATAATAATGGATATATAATGGATATATATATATATATAATGGATATATATATAATGGGGGTAGATCATATCGCAATTGGCTGGCCACAGTGTGAAATTGGGGATCTTTGACCTGATGCGATCGCTCTAAGCTGGGACAAATTTCGCTCGCGAATGACTGGACCGGACATCTGGACCTAAGATCTGTCAAAAAAACATGGTGCAGTTGGCAAAATCTTATCTGGTTGGTGATTTGGAACATGAACCCAAAAAAAATGGGAATGTCATAATCCCAACTGACGAACTCATATTTTTTCAGAAGGGTAGGTCAACCAGCAACCAGATATCAAAGGCACCATTTGATTTACCAATTATTGATGTATGGTATAACTGTATAACAGTGTAATTGTAAAACCTCATGTACAAAGTTGGTAAATATATGTAAATATTTGTTTTTTCCAAGCAATTGTTTTTTATCAAGGAACCTTTCGCCATGCAGTTGCGGTGAAAATCCAGGTTGCTGGTGTCCAAATCGACCATAGAAAACTCATTTGTTGGCCATGTTGGGAACATCTATAGCCATTGAATCCATGGGTGTTCCGTATCATTTCTTTGCAAAATCCTCAAACAGAGTTTAAGTTGTGATTACAATTCCATTCCCATTTGTTGATACGTATACATATACATAATTTACATATATATATATATATACATTTTTGTTTTGTGTGTTTTTTTTAACATATCCACATGATATCCCAAGTGATATTCCCGTGATATTCCCACATTTGCTGCCAACAAAAATCCAGCATTTTGGTGTTTTCACCAGGCTGAGTTGGAGGCTGCCTTGGCTCCCTTTTCGGCGCCGGAGACAAAGGTGGGAGAGTAGGTAGTTATCATCTAGCTTTGAAATTATATGAGGCTAAGCTGTAAAGTGGATGATGATGATGATGGTGATGGTGATGGTGATGATGATGATGATGATGGTGATGGTGATGGTGATGATGGTGATGGTTATGATGATGATGATGATGGTGGTGGTGATGATGATTATGATGATGGTGATGATGATGATGGTGATGGTGATGGTGATGGTGATGATGGTGATGATGGTGATGGTTATGATGATGATGATGATGGTGATGATGATGATGATGATGATGATGATGATGATGATGATTGTGATGGTTGTGGTGATGATGATGGTGATGATGATTCATGGTGGTGATGGTGATGATGGTGACGGTTATGATGACGATGACGATGATGATGATGATGATGGTGATGATGATGATGATGGTGATGGTGATGATGGTGATGGTGATGATGATGATGATGGTGATGGTGATGATAATGTTATGATGATGATGATGATGATGATGATGATGATGATGATGATGATGATGATGATGATGATGATGATGGTGATGGTTATGATTATGATGATCAACAAGAGGCACATGAAAAATAAATATCCGAGTAAAAATAGAAGTGTAGTGATAAGCTCGAAAACACTGGAAATGTATGGAAATGTGGATTTGCAACCCAAAGGTGTGGTGGTTCCAGTAGCTATCATGTGTTTCCAGTAGCACTTTTGGGGTCTGCCAGTATATTGGATCCAAGTGTGCCATTGGTCCCATCATTTGCCTATGGGGGAACGCCTGGTTCTTGGGGAACCACAATCTATTTGTGTTTTTGATTGTTTTTCAGGTACCGAAAGTTGGAGGAATTAGTGATATGCCCTTATCCAGTTTCCTTTCAGACTACAGTCCAGTTACAAATCATTTCCGATATCGTGCCAGCAGTACTTGATGAATGCCTATCCCCAGAAGACTACCACCATTGTTTCTGAAATCCTGGTTTCTTGCATCCGCATCCCCCACCTTAGCTGGTGAACGATCATCCAATGGCTGGTGTTTCAGGTCGAGCTGCCAGAGACGGCGGAGGCCATGTCCGATTGAAAGAACTGGCTGGCTGTGTCAGATATATGTATATATATATGGTTAATCAATGGTGAATCAATGGTTAATCAATGGTTAATGATGGTCTAACCAATGGTTTAACCAATGGTTTAACCAATGGTTAATGATGGTTAATAATATCTGGTTGGTGGTTTGGAACCTTGGAATTTTATGTTCCATCCCAACTGACGTTCACTCCATCATTTTTCAAGATGGGCACGTTGCACCACCAACCAGTATATATGTTTTTTTAATGTTTAACAAAATGGGATGATGATCCCCAATGACAAATATCGTTATTTTTTTTGGGGGGTGGCCGGGTGGCTGATTCCCCCATCCGATGAATCATGATAAATAGACACCCGTATTACCCTTGGTTCATTTGGGGGTTTCCTATATGGTCCATAAACCATTTGTTTTAGGAAACCCCAATTATATATGGATAAATCTATGATCAACTATGATGGCAAACATATGTGTCACTAGGAACATCATCGTAACATAATCTAGGAACTAGGAGCATCATCAACATCCATAGAAATCATATAGATTCATATAGATGATGTTCCTAGTTTCTAGATATCATTCTGAAAAAATCATCTGAAATATATCATCTAGAAATCATCCACTGTAAATCATTCTTTTGGAACTCATCCATCATGATATCCACTGTAAATCATCCTTGAAATCATCCACTGGGAACATTATCTGGTTGGTGGTTTGGAACATGAATTTTAGTTTTTCCATTCAGTTGGGAAGGTCATAATCCCAACTGACGAACTCATATTTGTCAGAAGGGTAGGTCAACCACCAACCAGATCATTATTAACCATCATTAACCATGTAATAACCATCATCATTAACCATATATATTAACAGTATATAAACACCACTGATTGGTAGGTTTTTCCCACCAACCAGATCATTAGTAACCATCATTAACCATATATTAACCATATATTAACAGTATATTAACCACAATGGTAGGTTTTTCCCACCAACCAGGTGTTTTTGTAGGTAAGTTACGTCGTAAGTCTCAAGGGCCCCATCCTGCGCAGGTTGCCCCCGAGCAGACGGGCGAGCAGAGGCGCTCGCAGTCTCGCGCCTCGGAGATGGACGCCCCTGCGAGTGGTGGAGGTTTTTTTGTTGAAAACCATGGGATTTTTAGTAGTTGAACATGGTTTTTTTCGCGAGCAACGTGGTTCGTTGGGAATAAGGGATTTCTAGAACACAAGGTATGACCCTGACCCCGTCCTTGTTGGTAGCAGCTGGGAAGGAACTTTGGCATTCAGGCGCTGTGTGTCGCTTTGTGGTAGGTTAAAACTAATCAGGAAAAAAATAGAAATCAAATTTCTGAGATGACCCAGGAACGGAGTTCGCCGGAGTTCGTCGGGGTTCGTCGGGGCCGAATTTGCTACGTGAAAATGCTGTTGCGAAAGTGGAAAAACTGGTTATAAAAATGCGATTTTACTTTCTGCGTGCTGTTTTTCCATGCGTTTTAGGGGCGAAAACGTCAAAACACACGTAGGAAATGTTTGGACATCTTTGCGCGCAAGGTTAAGTTCGTCGGAGTTTGTCGGGCTTAAAATTTTACAGACTGCGTAAAGATCTTTACCAAAAGTGTCACGAATATTCTTTCCAAGGCCAGATTGAAACTGGAAATTCTTATTGTTCTGCTGGTCCACCTGGTTCAGTCTTATGCATTTCGGCAGACCTTATTCCCTACGAACCCGCAAGCTCGCGAAAAAACCCAGTTGAACATAGTTGAAGATGATTTTGATTAAGAACAATGTATATTTAAACCAATATTTAAACCATGTTGAAACGATGTGTTTTTTTTTTAATGCTGTATATAGTTTTAGATGGGAAGAGCTGGATGTTTTTTTCAGATAGATATGATTATAGTAGGTCTTAATTGAGATAAAGATAGATAAAATAAAGAGGAAAGAGAGGGAGAGAGAGGTTCTGTTAAAGACATCAAATTTCCTGATGCTGATATCCTCCAATGAGGCCACAAGATCCTACCGTTCCTACCGCTGGTACAACGGGTTGTGACCGGGAAAAAATGGCTCTATTAGTGAAACGTCCAATGAAAATGTGTGGATACCTGTGGCCATTTTTTCCGGGACAAAAAAAACATCTATTTTGAGATATATAAAGCATCTCAAAACCATGGAAATCCCCATGTTTTCTGTTCTTCCACCATTTTCCACCACTTTTCCCTCGATCTTTGCCCGGGGCTTCACCGCGCTCGTTGTAGCAACGCAGGCACTGCCGGCACGGCCGTGGCCTTCCCCGCGGCCAAGGGCGCGGACACTGCCGAGGCGCGGCAGGCGGCCAAGGTGTCGCATGAGAAGCGCGAGAAGCAGGCGGCCAAGGTGCGGTTGATGGAGGTTGGATCGGTTGGATCTGCAGTTATGGCCCGAGTTATACCAGTGATAAGATGTTATAAGTACTAAAACCCCATTGATAGAATGTATAATCCCATAGAAATAACCAGTTATATCCAGTTATAACTAATAAATGGAGGTACGTTAGTACCATATTTTTGGCCGTTCTGGAGGGATATCCCCTGACATAGGCCTGAAAAAAATATAGGCCAAAAATATATGGAATCGGTACCTCCAATAAATCGGATCCTGAAGATCTCCCATTGGCTGGATCTGAGATGTTGTTTGCGAAAAAAAGTGCAAAACGTTGGTGATTTTTGATTGTGAAATGGATGGATAGCAAAAGTGGAATTTTTGATGGTGATTTTTTAATGGATGGTTTGTTGGGGTTGGCTGGGAGACTCCAGCAGCGAAATATCCGTGGATTTTTTTGGTGGTTTGATGGTATTTATGGAATGTTTGATGCTATGGAATGATTGATGGGATGTAATATGGAGCTGGTTGGTTGTTTCAAACACGTTTTATTGTCTATAATGTATGGGATAATCCTTCCCATTGACTTTCATATGTTTCAAGATGGTTAAAACCACCAACCAGGGAGGTATCAAGGGATATTCTCTGGTAAAAAACAAGAGTTTGCGCGATTGGACAATGGCCATTTTTCACTGATACATCATCGAACTGTGGCTGGTCATGTGACCGCGCTATGTTGGATTACCCTCTGGTTATGTCAAAATAGCTATTGAAAATGACCATTTATAGTGGATTTTCCCATTAAAAATGGTGATTTTCCATAGTTATGTTAGTTTACCAGAGGGTACCGGGTTTTTCGTTGAGATACAAACACGATGTGTTGCTATGAACCAACAATATGCAAACCTCTCATGGTGGATTTCAATGGATTTCAGCAACCAAACGAACAAGGATGATTGAAACAGCAAACATGAAGATATCATGAACATATACCATTTGGTTATGACTAATATAGCCATGGAAAATCCCAACCATAAATGGAGGTTTATAGCTGGGAAAATCATCTATAAATGGGCCATTTTCCATGGCTATGTTAAATAACCAGAGGGTACAATTAATTGGATAATTGTACTTCCACTAGATTAGATGAAAAAAATGGTTGAACATCGACCAATTAGATAATGTATTGATTAGATGATTCATAGACTTTAACTAGAAAACCCTGACAATATTTGGCTATATATTACCAGACAGAGTTATACATCATATATATATATATATCATATAATGTTAAGGTACCGCCAAGTGTTGTTGTTGTTGTTGTTGCTGTTCCTGTTGTTGCTGTTGCTGTTGCTGTTGTCGCTGTCGCTGTCGCTGTCGCTGTCGTTGTCGTTGTCGTCGTTGTCGTTGTCGTTGTTGTCGTTGTTGTCGTTGCTGTTGTTGTTGTTGCTGTTGTTGCTACTGTTGTTGCTACTGTTGTTGTTGTTGCTACTGTTGTTGCTACTGTTGTTGTTGTTGTTGTTGTTGCTGTTGTTGCTACTGTTGTTGCTACTGTTGTTGTTGTTGTTGTTGTTGCTGTCGTTGCTGTCGTTGCTACTGTTGTTGTTGTTGTTGTTGTTGTTGTTGTTGCTGTTGTTGTTGCTGCTGTCGTTGCTACTGTTGTTGTTGTTGCTGGTGGTGTTGTTGTTGTTGTTGTTATTATTATTGTTGTTGTTGTTGTTGCTGTCGTTGTCGTTGTCGTTGTCGTTGTGGTGGTGGTTGCTGTCGTTGCTGTTGTTTTTGGTTCCCACCTCACAGGAAGAGGCCAAGGAACGCGGCCTGCGCGCCTGGCGTTCCAAGAGCCGTGAGAAGAAGCGGAGCCGCGAGAAACGCGACGAGAAGAAGCGCAGCCGCAAGCGCAGCCGCCGGCGGAGCGGCACACCGCGAGGCGCAAGACGGGTGCGAGGGGGTGCAACGGTGCAACGGTGCCATGGGAGGGTGTATAGATTCGATCCATAGTTATTTGCGGGTTTCTTAAAATGAGGTATCCCCAAGTCATCATGGTTGTTTCAATAATTCCCCTCAGGTAAACGTTTACAGAACGAACTGGAAAGATCCACTTTTTTATAGCTGGGAAAATCCACTATTTCGACTGGGCCATGGCTTCAATAGTTTTTTGTATGTTTACCAGAGAGTATATCACTATATCCCATTATATCCCATTAAATCCCATTAAATCCCATTATATCCCATTAAATCCCATTATATCCCATTATATCCCATTAAATCCCATTATATCCCATTAAATCCCATTATATCCCATTAAATCCCACTATATCCCATTAAATCCCATTAGATCCCATTAAATCCCATCATATCCCATTAAACCTCCATTAAACCAGGGTAACCGACTAAAATGGTGTAATTTTGCGGTACGGAAACCTCCACAGCCACGGACAAGACACTGTTTTTGGTTTCTAGAAAAGGATGGTCATCAACCCATAGGCTTTAATACACCACATGTGTAGATTCCCAATATGGCACCACCTCTATTAACATACTAAGTATAGAAATATGAAGGTTTCAAAAAATGTGGGTACCCCTAAATCATCAATTCTAGTCGGATTTTCCATTCTAAACCATCCAATTATTGGGGTACCCCATTTCAGATATTAATTAAATTTAATTAACATGTACTAAGTATATGGATATATAGAACTATATAGAATTACACAGATATATTAATTTAATAGATATATATATATATATACATTTTTCATTCATTCACTGCCTGAAAGGGTCAATCCCTTGCTGCGACTTGCATGAGATTCTCGAATTAAGAATTAACAAAAACTGAAATTCTGGCCTACAACCGCTGATAATCGGGAAGCCAGCCCGCTCCTTGGCGGATCTCTGCACAAGCTTCCTTGGCTTCGTTTATCCAGCGGTGCAAAGTGCAATCCCCAGCCTGTGGCTGCACATGGTGTGCACGCCCTGTACGCAGGCTGTGGTCCAGAAAATCAGTAATGGCCTTTGCCAGACCAGCGCAAAATCTCGACGGATATTCCTTATGTTCACTTGTTTTGAACGATCCGTCGGCTTTGCGGCCAATTGCGACCTCCTTGGGTCTCACAGCCTCTGGATCAGCATGGCAGTAAAGCGATCTCCTGAACGAAGGCAACCTCAACGCCAGCAAGCCCGTAGGCTTGGGGACACCCGCGCCAAAAGGCCATTGTGGTGTAACGTGCAGCTTCAGATCAGGATGCTGTCGCAAAACTTGCAGCCAAGGTGAAGACCAGATGGAGGGTCGTGATGTATCCCGTGGAGGAGCAGGGTGCTCACTGACAAAACACCCGCCCCCTACAATTTGATAAGACAAAAGAAGGAGGCCCTGAAGAAAGAACATTGACCCTGCGCCTAGCTGTGCAAGCTCTCGCTGTGTCAGCGCCGGTAGCCCCAGGAGCCGCTCAAAGGATCGTAGAGGCCTCGGCTGACGGCGAGGGCGAGGTGCTTCAGGTCCATCAGAGGCCTCATCCAGCTCCTGGAAGCGGGCCTCACTGAAAGTCTCGCAGGGTGTGCCTGCGAGAGTCGCGGACACCCATCCTCGCTCATAGCACTGGACAAGCTGGCTCCAAGACACAGACCGCCACAACAAATTGCCATAAGTCACAGAAACTGCCATGTCCATTGACAATACCGTGACATCCACGTTGCGGGTCTGAGCCCACTTCACCAAACAACAGTGCACATCGCCTGCACGGCGTCTTCCCGAGAAAACGTGAACTATCAGGAAGTGAGGTCGCCCTTGAAGGGATCGGTAAATCGGCACTGTCGAATCCGAAGGAAGGACTCGCCACTGCATCTGTCGGATCGCTGCCAGCCAATCAGCCTGTGCTTCATAGCAAGACGGGACCTGTTGGATTGTGCGTCGACGCTCTCCTGCATTGGCTGTCCCTGTTCGCACCGGTCTGTGCGGCCTGCTCGGGGCCGCTTCCTCAGCCTGGAGCCTTGCATACTTCTGCTTCAGGAACTCAATCCTATCCAGGCAGTCCGTGCGTGGGAGAACCTTGTAGAGGTCGTAGAAGGCGTCCTCAACCACATACTCCACACAGCCATCCAATGTGGTGCCCAGCAGGTCCGGCAAGACCTGCTGTCCCCACGCCAAGAAGACCATCTCCGTCCATGGCTCGAAGCGGGCATCATACGTGAAGAGCAATTTCATCCACCAATCCCCAATGTCATTGACTGGGATGTCCTCTCGTGCAAGACCTCTATATCTCTCAATCCATATGCGGGTACAGGTGGACAGTTGTTCGCCCAAGTGTAAGCCCTCTTGTAGTGGATCTTCCGGTTGCACAGGGATCACGAGCTCGTCTTCAAGGTTCTGAATCTCCGCCAGAACTGCTTCCGCTTGTGAGCTTGCGGTCAATGGGCGGTCAATTTGCGGCCCAGCCGCTTGCAAGGCGTCAAAGCGGATTGCCCCCTTGAGCGTTTTGGGCAAAAGCATGGCTACATAGTGCCCTTGGAATCCCGTCTCCTTGAGTGCTTGGTAGCAGCGATTAACCCCTCCGTTTATTGGTATATACGCCAGGTGTTGCTGGAGTCGGGCGCTCGTCCAATATATATATATATATATATACGTATATATACATATTATTAGATATCTACCATATTTCCCCCATGACTACCCCATCTTAAGGCAAGACCTGCGCCAAGTCGCCCAAGCGCAAAGCCAAGTCGCCCAAGTCGCCCAAGCGCAGCGTGTCCAAGCGGCGCAAGAGCCCCTCACGGCGGAGGCGGGGTGGTGCTATGCTGGTTATCATAATGGGGATTGATGGGATATTGATATGGCATAATAGTAATAATAGTAATAATAGTAACACAAATACCCTCTGGTTATTTAACATAGCCATGGAAAACGGCCCCATAGAAATAGATGGTTTATATACCTATTAAAAATGGTTATTTTCCATGGCTATGTTAAGTAACCAGATGGTAGTAAATAATAATATGTTTTTTTTTGTTGTTATTATTGTGCCATATTAATGATCCATCAATCCCCATGGTTCTATGAAATATGTGTCTTAATATGGGATCATGAAAATATGGGATAATGATATCTTAACATGGGATTCATGGGGAATATCAATTGTCAATCATTGAATTATATTGAATTAATCCCATATGTTCATTACATATCCATAATTTAGTAAGGTTGTTGTTTTGTTTAGTAAGGTGGATGAGGCCTTCGATGATTGGAAAATTCCAGTATCCGAGGCCTTTCTGTCGTCCTAAGAATATCATATATAACCTCAATAATAAATATCATTTCCGAAGATATATATATATATTATATCACATTGGTAATGGACATAGACTACTGGTTATTTTTGATGTTTTTTCATAGACATATATATAGGGATATCAATGCGCTGAGTTTAATATTGGGATATATTACACAAGGGATGAATTACTGCGGATATATATAAAGATACATAAAGAGATGCATATACATAATATACATTGTTTTGAATACCATCATGTCTTAGACAACATGATTTTCCAAACAAATGGTGATTTGGTTTGTAGACATTCCATCACATTCCCCGGGATCGCCTGGTCCCACATCTGATTCTAAGGATGGCCAGCAGCCCTGTATAAAGGCCAGGCCATATATGGCTCAATTTCCCTCAGAATAACAATAACAATGTTCAAAAAAACTATTCATTGCAATCAAATCCTCCGAATCTATATCTATGAAACTAGTCATACATCCCAAACACCTCTAGAAAATTCATATTCAATCATCGATAAACCACTTGAAACAAACAAAATGTATGAACATGTATAAACGTCATAAAAGTCATTCATTTTCGCTACAATGTGAGGCCCCCAGTGATGTTAGTTGGTCTAGATTCGCCCCAGTAACTAGTTCGTTATTTACGTACCATAAACCATAGTTATTGGAGTTATGTTCACCAACTTAGCTATCGAACGGGGGCCTCACTAATTGTACCATCGCCTCATAGCCTATCACCTCCCAGGCCCAGCCGCCGTCGCTCCTCCAAAGCCCGGCGCCGCGACCCGCGCTCGCCGCTGCCGCGGCGCACGCGGCCGGCCGCGAAGCCGAAACGCTCTACGAGCAGCGGCGCACGGCGGGCGCGGCGGAACTCCAGGGAGAAGAAGCGGCGTCACTTGGGAGAAAACTCATGGGATTTTGATGGATTTTTATTGGGATATTAATGGGGGTATGATCAATGGGATTGGATATCAAGGTGGTTAAAACAACCATAAACCATCCATTTGGTGGTTTGGAACATGAATTTTATGACTTTCCATTCAGTTGGGAATTTCATCATCCCAACTGACGAACTCATATTTTTCAGAGGGGTAGTACCGGGTAGGTATACCAGTGATGGATTTTTGAAAGATATGATACCCAACAGACTTGGTATATATGATAAGTTGTTTGATGAATGATCTTTGAATGTGTCATTTTCCTTACAAGATGTGGCCCCCTCAGTTGTGTTTGTTGGTTCACAATGTCCATTAAGTATAGGTATATCCTCATATATATCCTCCTTAATCAAACAACTTATCAAACAACTTGGATATCTATCCCAGTTGATTTAAGGAGTATAATCTGGCAACATCTAAGTTCGTTCGAGGTGTTTAAGAATGATCTAGATGATGTGTAGGTTGAGGGACAATTGCAACTTGATGGGTAGGATTGAGGGAATCATCCAAAAAAAACATGTTTTTTGATGTTTGTTGAGCTTATAGGGGGGTTGATTATAGCTTGACATATAGCTGTAAATAATCAATATATCAACCCCTTGTTTAACACCATCATTTACAAGAGTGTTTCTTGGCCATAAAAAAACAAAAAAACATACATAGGGATATGCACATGCTTGTTGTTGAGCTTTGAATTAATGAATATGTTCATGGAAATTTTCAGGTTGAACATTCTTGTTTACGCAACAAAATGGCTTCAAATTTAGATTGATGTTTCCCCTGAACGTCAGTGTTTTCCGCATTGCTCCCAGTGTCGAGCACGAAGCCTTGGGTGACGAAACCAGATGAGTTCAATTTCAACAGAAACACGGTGCGGCCAAATCCAGCCGTTGAAAAAAATGAATGATGCTCTCTATTCTTTGCTGTTCATAAATTGGGGTTGCATCCTCCGTTTTCAGGATTTTACTAACAAACATGGTGCTTTTAACATAACCCACATTTGCATTCAAAAACATATTCCGGCAAGAGACCCCAAACAGTATGGGGGGAGTAAAAAGATCATGTATTATAATGTTGATGATGTTAATGTTGATGATGATGTTGATGATGATGGTGATGTTGATGAAGATGATGGTGATGTTGATGATGATGATGATGATGATGAGGAGGAGGAGGATGGTGGTGATGATGATGATGATGATGATGATGATGATGATTAAATGAAGATGATGATGTGGATGTTGATGAGGCGGAGGAGGAAGATGATTATGTTGAGGATGATGATTAAGAAGATGATGATGGTGATGATGATGATGATGCTGCTGCTGCTGATGATGAGAGGAAGATGACGATGTGGAGGAGGAGGAGGAGGAGGAGGAAGAGAAGGAGGAGGAGGATGAGGATTGTTATTATTATGTTGAGGATGATGATGGTGATGATGATGATGGTGATGATGATGATGATGATGATGATCATGATGAGGGTGGTGGTGGTGATGATGATGATGGTGGTGGTGGTGGTGATTATGATGCTGAGAGGATGATGATGTGGATGTGGATGTTGAGGAGGAGGAGGAGGAAGATGATAATGTCGAGGAGGAGGATGTTGAGGAGGAAGACCGATCCCATGACCGGGAAGCACACTTTGCGCGAACCTGCGCAGTCCAAATGCACATGGACATGTGAAATGTGCGGAAATTGACAGGGAAAATGCCGGACGGTAATCGCGGGGCAAGCATTTTGTGCGAGCCTGCGCAGTCGAAATGCACATGGACATGTTACAAGATGCATTTAATGGGGAATTTTATTGGGAAAATGCTGGACGCTTCCGTTGCCGCCTCAATTGAACATCGGGCCTTAACACCTACTGTAAGAACAACCCCTCAGTGTGGACACACTGTTTGGGGAAACATGCCGATTTTCACCACACAACATGGGACCATTTCCATGATATTTGTTCCATAAGACCAAAGAAATTTCCAATGTTTCGTCTCCCAAATTGTAATGATGAAAATGATATCTAGGAATATATTTAGATATGATATAGCTAGAAAAATCATGAATAATTATCCCAGATATGTTGCTTCCAATATCTTCCAATATTTCATATCGACATGATGAACATTCCCAGATGTTCCCAGGCGCAAAGTCCAGCAGCTCTTCTCCACCCAGAGCCAAGCGGAAACTATCACCGCCCACGGTGAAGCGGAAAGTGGAGGATGGGCGATGTTGTATGTTTCAATGGATCTTTCAATGGGGGAAACATGGGGTAGCCAAAAGATGGTTTATCATGACCATAATTACTGTATTTTTTTTTTTAATTCACTAATTTTGTTACTATGATTTCTTCTCAAAGTGTGTGAAATATGATCAAGTAACTCTGATAGTTTGCTGAAATCCATTCCTATAGCAGTTGGAAATTTTATAGTTCTACAACCCTCTCTGGTCTCTCGTACCTTTCTATATTGGTTGGTTAAGAACGGACCCAGTTCATTGACTCCGATCATCCCCTTATAAAACAATCAAACGATGGGTTTTGAAATGTGTTGAACACTTCTAGGAGCCGCGCCGTCGCAAGACGCCGCCGCCCAGCTCTAGCGCTTCGCCGCCGCCGAAGAAGGCAGCGCCCAAGCCGAAGCCGCCGGCGCCGTCGCCGGTGAAGGCGGTGAAGGTCGCGAAGACGGCGCCGGTGAAGACGCTTGGAGCATGGTGGACGCTGGGTGTCTCTGAAAGTGGCGTGTACCAAAAGTTGTCATTTTTAGATGGGAAATGAACATAATCCATCAAATTTGATGGTGCCCCATTTTCAATCAAACCCATGTTGGTTGGGAGTTGGTTGGGGTCGTATCATGTGTTTGTTTTTTGTTGAAGGGTATCCAAGATTGACGGGTTTTGGGTTGAATATTCCCATCTTGTGTAATTTTTAAGGTCGAGGCGAAAAGGTGTGCCCCCGATGATTCCAAGGAAAACTATCACCAAGAAGACGCAGAAAAAGGTCGGCTCAAATTCTTCAACGTTCCTTGGCACGTGATGATGGTTTCGTTGGACATGAGAAACGAGTGGATTCCAACCGGCTGGGGCCCTTTAGCCATCCAACGTCTCGGGTTGAAGGACTAGTGCTCAGCTGTTCATGAGAGGTTTCTATGAGAGGTTTCAGGAAGGGCATCTTTTCCCATGCAATAGCCTGGTGCGCCTGGTGTACGGCTGCTTGAGATATCATCCAGTTGCATCAAACAGGTCCTTGCGGGATGACAAGCAGTGTTGGTTCCCTCATCTTTTTGAAGTGCTAAGTGGGATGGAACATGTTCTGAAATGCAAGCATGCTCCTTAGCAAGATGAGGCTGCAGATGGCGTGTAAAAGTTATAGGCTGATATAGGCTGTAGATTTAGTATCAAAGTACAGCATATCAAGCACAATCAATGCTTGGGTTCATCAATTCAGGTTGACTCGCTGTCATCTAGATGTAAACTGTTTAATTAGACTAGACATATAGTTTTACATATCATCTCATTATCATTTCATGACATTCACATCATAATCCCATGTAATCCCATTGAATTTTCATGATTATCACATTGCCCTTTGGTAAACTAACATAGCTATGTACATCCCCATGAAAATCATAGGTAAATTGTTTGTCACAAACTGGGACAAAAAAAACAGTTCGCAAACTGTTAGTTTACCGGAGCCCATGGTGCTCGTATATCCGCATCATGTTTATGATTTTTCGTGATATAAACTATGGATTATTAACTAAGTTTATTAATCATGATTATGAATCTATTGTTGGTGTTAAACTATATTAACTATGTTTCATAGAACTAACTATAGATTATTAACCACGATTATGTTTTAACAGTTTTAAATAAACATACATGCACTATGTTTCATAGTTTAGTTAACATGGATTATTGTTAACTAAACATGGATTATTCACGATGATCATTACCAACGATGTTTCTATCCACCACTCCGAAGATCACCTTCCGCGTTTCACCGCAGGTCCCCTGCGCGGCCGGACATCAAAAAGGCCGCGGAGCCGGAGGCGCCGGCGCCGGCGGCGAAGGGCACGAAGAAGACGACCAAAGAGGCGAAGGTCATAGAGAGCAAGGCGGGCGAATGGGGGAAGGGTGGGAAATGATGGAAAAATATAGGGACATGTTAACATTTACCCTGTAAACTAACGGTTTGCTATGGGAACATATTAATTCAACTATGATATATATATATATATTGTAAGCCAGCTAACCATGGAAAATGAATATTCAAAATCATGAAACAATGGGGTTTTCAAGCATCAAAACATTTATCAACATGATTTGGTGGGGATTGTTTTGGGTTATAACTAACCAACAGTCTATGTATGTCTATGTTTTATGTGTCTGAAAATGGTGGATGCCCCAAACATGTTGATAAAAGTGGGGGAACTGATGACGATCGGATTCTTGGGTACCACATGTTCAGCTGGCTGTTCAGCTGGCAGGGATGAACGCCAGGATAGAAGGCGTTTGACCCGTTTTTCCATATGTGAATGTAGCAACCCCCAAAGGATAGACCAGGAATTTCTATACGTTTTTTTTGGGAAGCGGATTTGACTGTTAAATGTTTTGGGGATTGCTATCGAATATATTTTTATCGATGCGGATGCGATATATATATATATATACATACATATATATATATATATACACGTAAATTGGTAATTGGACTCTGTCATCTCTAGCATAAATATTAGCATAAATGATTCTATATACCATATATATAAAATCCAATTTGTCATGCTATGAATGTGAATGTGAATGGGATCCTGCTTCACCCTTCCGAAAAAAACCTGGCCTTCCCCGTGCCACAGGAGAAGAGCAAGACTCCCAGTAGCGTCAACAAGGAGCCTGGACTGTCCAGAGATTTGTGTTTTGAATGATGGGGTTGGACATACGTTTTTTGTTCTGTATTATGTTTGATGAGACAAATCAAATTCCCTGTTTTGCATATTTGGGTATTGTTTGATTTACTGTAAGTAAGTGAGGTTTCAGAAGTGAATCATGCCACTCTGAGGATGCTAGTATTTGGTTCCAGCCACTATCAGCCGACTGAAACTTTGCAGTATTTATGAGTGGCACATCTAGTCACATGTTGAGGTAACTTGACTATCCTTCTATGTCGGTTCTGGGTTGCAACATGGAAAGGAGATGAATCATTTTGCTGAAGACCCAGAGCCCCAATTTGTGGCGCACATTGTTTCATCATTTCTGCAAATGTCTACCACCATCAACATCCATTTATCATATGTTTTTGTCTCGGATCCATTTGTAGCAAGGGCGGAAGTTAGAATTATCAAGTGGGTTTGTCCTTGTGTGTCCAAAAGATGCTGTACCCCAAAATTCAATGTTTTATCATGGGGATATTATAATATCAATTTATTATTGTTGGGTCAGAGAAGCTATTCCAGCAACTAGGTACAATTTGCATCCATGTGGATTTCTCTGAAACTTCGGTACATTCAAACTCCAATGCCCAAAGTTCAATGATGTTCACCATTTCTCCGCGACAACTGCCATTTCTTGGTGGGTTTTCCCCGGCGTTTCAGGAGAAAGTGGAGAAAGCCAAGGCAGCCCCGGCGCCGGCCGTGCCGAAGGAGTCGAAGCCGGAAAAGGCGGCGCAAAGCCACTGGGCATGAATCGGTAACGAAACATGGGTGAGTTTCCCATATTTGCAGGGTGGTGCCCCAGTTCGTTAGCTAAGTTGATGCAAATCAGTCCAATAACCTATGGTTTATAGGCCATACAATACTGGTTGGTGGTTTGGAACCATGGAATTTTAAATATGACTTTCTATTCAGTTGGGAATGTGATCATCCCAACTACGAACTCCATCATTTTTCATAGGGATAGGTCAACCACCAACCAGTTTTCATGGGATTATAACCCATTTATAACTGGGGCACCGCCTTGTCAAAATGGTCATGATGAGGCCAGGAGGCCCCATTTCTTGCTGTGATTCCAATGATGGGATGACCATAACTAGGGCAATCTTAGATGGCTGGGAACTAATCCTTGAGTTTTGTTGGTACTGTGGATGGGCCAGCGAAATCCTGCAGTTGATGGTTGCGAAATTTTCATGATAGGGTGGGTTTCAACCATCCAGGCTGGTGGTTTATCGGATTTCGCTGGCCCATCCACAGTATCAATGGGATTATCTATGTTCACCAGCTAAGAAATTATTTTTTTGCAGGGTATCTAAGATTGGCTCTGATGTATACTGCGTAAGATCTGAAGATCAATGGTTTTTTATTTGATGGTATGGGCAATTTCCGTATACTATCATGGAGGTTTCTAGCTAAGAGCCCGTGTGGGAGATTGTCCAGCAAGCCACGTTTGAGGATATGAGGATCAATGGCAATTGCTGGTATTTGATCAATGGTGGGCCCCCCCCTAAATAGCTAAGTTCGTTTATCACTAGATTAATTGGGGTAGTTTATGGGGGAAATATAAGTTATTCATAGTTAATGTGGTTTATAAACAAACATAACTGGAGGGCACCTATGGTAGGTAGGTTTTTTCCATGGATGCATGTGGTAAACCTGCCATAAACCATCCCCAATGATTTACCATCAGGTGGGATTGAAACCCTCCAAAGATCGTAGTTTTTTTTTGCATTGGGTGTACGATATAATAATCTGGTTGGTGGTTTTGAACATGTTCTTTTTGACTTTCCATATATTGGGAAGGTCATAATCCCAAATGACGAACTTATATTTTTCAGAGGGGTTGAAACCACCAACCAGTAATGCATTATATGAAGATCAATGGTGGGTATTTGTGACGGGTGTCTGCCAGCGACCATCAGGGTGCAGTAACATGATGCGATGACGCGGGCTTTCGACCTAGTAACATCCGAGCACCTCGAGGATCCCTTTTGACGGCACATTGTTTTCCTTACTGCTGCGTTTTACGTAGGGTTGCTGGATGGGTTGCTGGGTGTTGCTGGGATGATTATTACTAGTGATGAAATGGATCATTCCCTCAAATTCCCTGCGTTTAGCACCAGTAAGTTTCAAAGTATACCTTCTCTTAATGCGTTTCTCCCAGAACTTCCGGGCGTGCTCATACCCAGCCCATCTCTCTCATTCAGACTCAGGAATCTCTTGGTAAGATCAACAAGAAACCATCAACATGTCCCATGTCAGCTCACATTCCCTATCAATAAACATCAATAAACATCTTGGTCACATTTCTTAAAAACATGTCACTACATCTCAGTATACATCTCTGCCAATAAGTTTCACCATTGTTCCCATCAATTCCCAGTTACCCTCTGGTAAACGTTTACACAACTATGGAAAATCACCATTTTATAGCTGGCTAAATCAACTATCAATGGAGTATATGTTCAATAGCTATGTTAAGACATAACCAGAGGGTAACCAACAAGAAATTGCATTTTGGAGCACCCCAACTTGGTTTTTTTTCACCATTTTCCACTATTTTCCACCATTTTCCACCATTTTCCCACCATTTTCCCACCATGTTCCACCATTTTCCCACCATTTTTCTGCCATTTTTCCACCATTTTTCCGCCAAGGCAAGGCGCCGCCGCGCGCCAAGGCCTCGGCGACCAAGGCCAAGGCCACGAAGCCGGCGCCCAAGGCCGCGACGGCGGCGACGACGAAGGCGGTGCCGGAGAAGGCGAAGAAGGCGAAGAGACTTGGCAGAATTGATGAATAATGTTGGTTTATTGATATATGATACTTATAATATAAATAAATCAATAACTAAATATATATATATATATATTACATATGTATATAATTGTAAAATATATATATATATATATGTGTGTGTCTGATATATATATATATACATATCATGGACAATAATCAATGATGGTTGATTATGATGGTTAGTTGATGGTTATTCAATGAAGGCAAATAATGATGGTTTATTCAGTGATGGTGAGTTGATGGATATACAATGATATATGCTGTTTAATGATTCAATAACTTGGCCAAAAAAATGGATGGACGTTTCAGATGTGAACTTGGATGTAATTATTTGGAGTATCATTGAACATGATGTAGATTTATAAATGATATATAAGGGCTGTGTGTATATATATATATGATATATGATATGTGTATGTGTATATATGTATGTGTATGTATATATATACGTATGTAATGTTAATGTGTGACTTTAGGGAATGTACATATCAATGTTTCCTTTTGATTTGAGGAGTTATGAAAAATACACACCTATCTCATTAATATTCCTTGATGGTTCTTAAATAATTGGTAGGTTCATAGCAATGTTCCATAACCAATTCAATGTTTAACCATCTGAGCAGTGGCTGCAAACCGTAAAATGTGCAGTGCACCACCAAAATATAGGGGGTGTAATCAGTGAGATTGAAAAAATATGGTTGATTCATTGATGGTTAATGAAGATGTTATGATTTGATTGGTGTGTAGGTTATACTAACATGTGTACATTAGAGATTGTCATTTTATGTGCAAGGTGGTGCCCCCCCCCAGTTATAAATGGTTTATAATCCCATTAACTATAGATACATCACCAACAAAAACCATAGTTGTTCGACTTATACACCAACTTAGCTAACGAACTGGGGCACCAGGCTGTAGATGATTATATCATTATAGTCCCATACAAGTTGATCACCTAAATGATCCCGATCAGTTGATTTGATCTACAGTAGCCCTACTAATGTGGGTAGAGCCATATCATAAACCAACCATGACCTGGGAATTATAGCACCAAAACCAAGCATGTTTATACCACCATATACCAACCATATCATAAACCAACCATGTTTAGTCACCACCTCTATATTTCTGGTGATTTGGTTGCAGAATAGAAATAATATGGATCCAGAAATGGATCCATTTGGGATGATTTCATTTTAGCCATTCATTTACCAACTGGTACACTTACCCGGCCTGGTAAACGTTTCCATAGCTATGAAAAATCACCATTTTATAGCTGGGTAAATCAACTATTTCGACTGGGCCATGGCTTCAATAGCGAACTGTTAGTCATTACCAGAGGGTAATCCCCATTATATCCCATATAAATCCCATATAAATCCCATATAAATCCCATTTAAATCCCATATAAATCCCCTATAAATCCCATATAAATCAATAAACATCTTAGCTCTCCATCTCTGCCCAGGAAAGCCAGCGCTCCCGCCGCGGCGCCCAAGGCGGCCGCGCCCAAGCGGAAAGCGCCAGCGCCACCGCCGCCGGGCAGTGAGGATGACAGCGAGATCGAGCCTTGGAAACAATGAGCAGTGGCTATAGTTAGACTGTTGAACTATAGTTAATGGGATGTTTAATGGGATGTTTAATGGGATGTTAGTGGCGGTATAGTTAGACGGTTTTACTCTATGACTGTTTCTTATAATCATGGAAGATGGTGATGTCATGGAATATTATAATGGAATGCAAGTAGTGATTTTACCCTCTGTTTTTTTTAAACATACTCAACTGGAACATCACCATTTTTTGATACGTAAATCATCATGTTTATCATCTATAAATGGGCCTCATACCAACATAGCTCGTGTTTACCATCTGGTAATTTGTTGCATAACTATGGAAAATAACCCATTCATTTTGTGGATGTAGTCTTTTTTTGAACATTGTGTTTTTTTTTACCAAATCTATGCTAAATTGCCAGAGGGTAACGTTCACATTATATACCAAAAAATACCGTGTTATATGGAAACACGGTTATTATAATCTATTATTTAACTGTTCAACAGTCTGGATCATGATACAATCATATGGATTCGCTGAAAGTTAGCCATCCAAGTAGTCCGATCATCGGGTATAATTTTCATACGGAAATGTGGGGCATATTGAAAAATGATGCTTGTCCGATGCTAGAATTTTTGATGGATGTTAGAATTGTTTGATAGATCATGGGTTAAATTGAGCGGCGGATGCTGATGGGGAATCTGATGATCTAATTGATCTAGTTATCAAATATATACTACTCAATGAGTTTTCCTTTCCAGATGTAAATCATAATGGCTAGGAATCAAAACCTAAATAATTACTAGGGATTTCTGCGTCTATGTTTCGCGTGAAAACATGGTTTGAGTAATGATGGTGAATGATCACAGGAATGGGAATTGCACTGGTTGGTGGTTTGGAACATTTTATATGTTTCCATATATTTGGAAGAATATTCCCAACTGACGAACTCCATCATTTTTCAGATGGGTAGGTCAACCACCAACCAGTTGCAATATGATGAACCTTGGGATATGCATGATCAAATACTTTACTTCAAGTCATCCCCACCATGACAGAGTTTTGTGAGGGTTTCAGAGGAGATCTGATGAAACAAATATGATATACCCGGCCTGGTAAACATACAAAAAACTATTTAAAATCGCCATTAAAATAGTTGATTGATCCATTCAAAATGGTGATGTTCCATAGTTTTTTGTATGTTTGCCAGAGGGTACATCCATCAAGCCACACTAAACCCACTAAACCAGGCAATGTTCAATAGCTATGGAACCAATTACCAGAGGGTAACCTTGGGATATGCATGATCATCACATATGATATACCCTCTGGTAAACTAACATAGCTATTGAAAATGGCCATGAAAATAGTTAGTTGATTTATCCATTCAAACAAGTTTTGTTTACCAGAGGGTAACCCCTTCCCAACCCCCTTCCCCAGCCAGGAGATCGTCGGTGCGGACATCAACTGGTCCTCGCGTCAGGCCAAGGCGGCGGCCAAGAGTGCGGTGAAGCACATCACCGTGGCCAGCGCGGAGCGGAAGCCGGAGGAGGCTGGGAAGATCCAGGGTTTTTTTGTTGGTGGCTAGTGACCGTAGTGGGTGGATCACGGTGGATCCTGGTGTTGATGTGTTGTATCTACTCTATGATCTCTAATTATTGGGCACCATCCAAGTATATCCAAGTTATCCTGGCGTTTTTTGAAACCCATTAGATGGCTATTGGATGCTATTGGTAAATCCCATTATATCCTGGTATTATCCTGGTATTTATCCCATTTTATCCTGGTATTTATCCCATTCATCTGGCACCACACCCGGTGCAGGATTTGATCAGCCCATCATGCCGTCACTGTGTTTACCATGATGCTAAGGAGAGAACGCTCTAAAAGCGCTTTGTTGTAAATTTTTGGTAAATTGGTAAATGTTGCCCTTGTCTTTTTTAAGGCCTGATGAAATCATGAAAGATCTTCTAAAAATTGGAGTTATTGTGGTTTCATCATGGCAATCTATGTCAGATTTTCCTATATATGAATCCCATCATTAAAATCATCATAAAAAGAGGCCTCTGGTAAACTCACATTTAATCATTTAGAGTTGACTTACATATTGGAAAATGGTGATGTTCCATCGTTTTTTCCATGTTTTTTCCATGTAAAAACCAGAGATCAAAACCCCATTTTTAGTCACCGGTGCCGGCGGATCCGATCCTTTTTGGGCCACAGGTTTTAGCTCAAGCCTTGATGGAAGTCTTAGGACCTGGGACGACCGGACAGGTAGCATCCCTGGTGTGAATGATGGCTATGTTGGATGGGAAGTCCCTTCAACACAATTACACCAACATAATGGCATATAATGGCTATTTGACAAATTATCATCCAACATAAATTATTTGACAATTTATGTTGGATGGCTATGTTGGATGATCTATTTGACAACTCAGAGATGTTGACTGGCTGTTGTTTTCGTGAATTGCTTTCTATGTTTTTGCCAAATGTGAATGTTTGATGTATTGTAATTATTTGATACCAAAACGAGGAGTTGATATGTATGATGCTGACCAAAGTGGTCAGGTAATAACAACCCAAATTTTGGTGTTGATGACACCTCCGAATTGTAAGACTCGAGGCATCGGTATGAGAAACTTAATCATCCGTCACGAGTCTTCAGCATGTCAGGTATGTTTTAAGGGTTGACATCACCCAGTTTATTAGCAGAAAAACCCATGAAAACAAAATCCAGTGATGGCTTCCAATGTTGGTGGACACTGGTTCTTCACTGGAATATATCTTGCTTCCAATCACTTGGCTGTGTCTGAACATGTTTTTGGCGGAGTATATACATATATATATATATATATATATATGTATATTTATTCCCCATGTATACCTCCAAGTTATGGCCATTTTATTTAATTTTGAATTGCAATATGTCATGTTTTTTTTAGCATTTAAAAACCTGTTAAATCCATGGGATGGGGGATGTTCTTGATACCACTTAAAACCAGTGATATCAAAGTTATATCCAGTCATGATATGATTTTCCACAACAAATATCACTGGTCTCTTTAACTGGCTTCTTTTTATATATATATATATAATACACATATATATAATACATATGTATATATATAATATATATATACATATATAATACATATATGTATATATATATATACATATAATGTATATATATATATATATTCATGGGAGGGTATCACTTCAATTCCTCCCTGAGGACCCAAAGTCACCGAATCTGAAGCCGCACGGCGGCGCCGCATGCAGATGCAGATGACCCTTGGCAATCTCACCGTAAATCTCAAATGTTGGTTGAATCCCTCCAAACATCAACCAGATTCCACCATCAGATTTTTCAGTGATGGTAATATATAATTAAGTGATATCTACAGTTACTATAGTTTATCACCTGGATTTTTAACTATAGATATCACTATAGATTGTTGATTACCATCACTGTAGATATCACTTTTCCTGGATGTTTCACTGATCAAAACACCCAACGAATGGATTTCCTGTCCGACGCCAGGATGGCGCAGCCAGTGGACGTCACAGCGCCGGCGCCGGAGGAGATTCCCAAGCAGCGGGAGCAGCTGGAGCAGAAGCTGCAACTTGGAGATCACTCGAGATCGAACAAAAATGGTGATTAGTGGTATGAAAGTGATATCTATAGTGATGGTAATAATTGATATTAGTGATATCTTTTTTGTGATGGTAATAATTGATATTAGTGATTATTGATGTATATTATCCCATTATTGATGGTATAATATATAAATAATCCATGTTATTTTTTGATTTTGCATGAAATCAACCATCCAGCTATTGGGGATCCTCCATTTATGGAAAACCCCATATCTATGAATGATTTATTGATGGATGTTAATGGTATAATAATGGTATAATGTACATCAATGAATGGGATAATTATATTGTGATATTGTTTATTATACATGGTCACATAAAAATTGCATCGTAATCTATACAGTCTATTGAGATAGTCTATCTATAATTATAGTATCATATAGTATCTATAGTCTGTATATATAATATATAGATATTATAGACATATTCATCCCATCAATAGTAGTAATGGTTATAAATTGCAATATTAGTACTAGTTATAGATGATTTGTAATTAACTTATACATGACAGTATCTATCAACTAGCATCTATCATTACTATAGTTGTATAGCCATTAATGATATATATATATAGTTTTAATGACTATAAGTTTAAGGGTATTGTCTTTTCTATATGTTTAGGGATTACTAGAGTTATATTATAGATGATCCGATAATGATATTCAATAATGATAATCATGCTGATATATATATATATATATATGTACATATCATATATATGTGTGTATGTATATATACATATATATATATATATACATGTACACATATATATATACATATCATGTATATATATATACATATATATATATATATACATACATATGTTACATACATACATACATACATACATACATACATACATACATACATACATACATACATATATACATATAGAGTATAGATATATGACTAGGATCTCTTTAATACTGTGATATACATATATTGGATCAGCTATAAGTATAGGATCAACAAATAATGACGCACCATTCATCACCATTACTATCCATTAGTTGCCATTTAATCACCAGTAAATAATCGTGATTATACAATGGCTTGATATACGTATAGAGATATTCCAGTTGGTATCTATATAATATATAATTCTATACTTATATATGATATAATACTATTGTAGATGATCCAATACTTAACACTTAGTACTAAAAATGATACTCTATGTCGTCACCACAAAAGGTAGGCCAGTGAATCTTCACTCTTCTAATGGGATTTTGAATTTCATTTGTTTGGCGGGATGATCTCAAGAAAACAGTTAGTATCCACTGGGGTTTTTGAAAGCAGGATTCCTCTGAATCTACGGATTCAAAAGAAAGTAACAATTGGTTCATAGATGTTCTTACCCCCTCTGGTAAATAAACCATGGATTTGTGGAAAATGGCACATTTATAGATGATTTTCCCAGCTATAAACCTCCATTTATAAGGGATTTTTCCATGGCTATGTTAGTCATAACCAGATGGTACCCCCCTAGTAAACTAACATAGACCCTGAAAATCACCAATTTTTAATGGAAACTAGTCTTCCAACCGTGACAACTGCCAAGGTCGAACTGTTAATTTACCAGAGGGTAGTTGATGTTGGTTGATATCATATATCCAGTTGTTGTTAACTATGGAGTATATCTATAGTAGGTGAAATTTGCACATATTGGCGAGCGGTTCAACTTTGGGAGTCGGAACCGTGACATACTGGTAACCATCAAAGTAACTGGAAAATGGATGTTCCACAAGCTAAATATATGTTTTGACCCACCCACATACAATAGTCGGTGAATGAATTAATTAAGTTTTGTGTTAATAATTGTTAATATATCTAATAGCTAATAGCATTTTTAGTTGGATAATGTCAATACTTCTTTGTCAGAATAGTTGCATTTAAACAGTCATGTTATGTCATGGTTCAAGTTTGGGTTAATATGTTTTCATGGTTAATTGCCAATTACTAATAGTATCAATGTAATTTGAATAGTTCGTTGTATTGCATACTTGAGGCATGATCTGTTGGGCCAAATTGGGTTAAATACTTTAGATACTCTCCTGGATGGAATGTTGAATGGATAACAAACTATTGATGAAACTTACAAAACAGTACCCTCTGGTAAACTAACATAGCTATTGAAAATTGTCATTTATAGTGGATTGGCCCATTAAACATGGTGATTTTCCATAGTTGCGTTAGTTTACCAGAGGGTAACATTCCACCAAAGAGTAGATTTCAAATTGTTCCCATGGATCGAACATCCAGGATAACGATGTCATCGGATCCTGTTTTTTTTTGGTATTTCCAGCCCATGTATTTTCCATGGAAATCATGGATGGTTTCAGAAAGTCCTTATTACCCTTTGGTTATGACTAACATAGCCATGGAAAATCCCAACCATAAATGGAGGTTTAGTTCGCTGGGAAAATCATCTAAATTTCTATGGGCCATGGCTTCCATGGCTATGTTAGTCATAACCAGAGTGTATCAATGGATGATCACAGCCAACGAAGGGACGGTTTCTGAATCCCGGTTTCAACACACCTACTAAAAAGCTATAGACATGGGAAGGTTTTTTTGGAGAATACTGGAAGATCTAGCAGTGAAAGACAATTTATGGATTCCCCAAAAATCAGTGTATATGATGTATATACATATAACATCATATAAACTCATATATATATATATAGTATATGTATATATATATATACATATACTATATATATATATAATCAGTTCCAGCATTGTAAACGTTGATGACCAGGAAGGTGACGCAGCGGCAACTCTTGCAACTCCAATTGGGGATGAAGCAGCAACAGCAACTCTGGCGTTCGTTTTTTTTTGCACTGGAAAACCCTCTGGTAAACTAACATAGCTATGGAAAATGGCCATTTATAGTGGATTTTCCCATCAAACATGGTGATTTTCCATAGTTATGTTAGTTTACCAGAGGGTAGGGGATATTTACTGACACAAAAAAGGGATGTTGTGATTCAACCAATATGATAATCATTGTGTTTTGTTCTTTAAAGCCCATCAATATCTGTGTTTTTTTTTGCATGGAAAATGGAAGATGATGTTTTTGACCAGCGTTTCACCATTGGATGGAATGGTGTACTGTAAAGTGCCCGATTTTTAATCAAACCCAGGTGGTGCTATGTCGGTTGTGGGGCATATCAACTTGGATGTTGACACGCCAAGAATGTTCCGTAAGCAACTTGAAGTTATGGCCAACTATGGTAACTATGGCCAACTTCAACTGCCAAGTCGTACTGTTGACCTACGCCCCCATTATTTTGTGTGGTAGTTGATTCATCATACCTTCCAGATGCTCCATGTGTCGGATACCAGCAACTATGTGAGCACCAAACATTACCCACTTATGCATGGAATTGCAACGGCATACATAATGGATTTTTTGGGGTTGCATGACGTCAGAACCACATCACCATAGATTGATGAGTAATTAGTTATTTTGCAGCTATGTACTGCAAAATAACACTATTTCAGCTTGGTGAACAAACATCCAATAATATACTTTGCGATATTAATTACCAAATTTACAAATAGATAGAACATCTATATAATACTCGTTGGTGGTTTCATACATGTTTGTTATGTTCCATATATTGGCAATAATCATCCCAACTGACTTTTATATTTTTCAGAGGGGTGGCTCAACCACCAACCAGAAACATATATAATCATATATATATATATACACATCAAATGTTCAAGGTTACAATTTCCCCGTTTCTTGATGTTTACCAGTAAACCATGGTTAAACCACCAGGTTCGTTTACTGACAATAACATTTTGGGACTCGGATCAACATGTTTGACCAAAGTGGTGTGGCTTCATTTGTTCAAAATGGCCCCTTATCTTCGTGGGTAAAAATGGTGGCCAGTGCCCCCCATCCTAAGGCGTAGCCACCCATGTCTTTCCAGTTGCATGTTGTTTATCAAGTTTCAAGTCAACATGATCCCATTTTTCTTGGGTTCTAGCCCTTAAGCTTATCAAAACCGAGTTAATCTATTCGCAGGATAGTCTCCATCACTGGTAAGAGGCAACGGCAACATTCGTCCCTGCCAAGCTTCTGATCCATACCGGTCGAAATCCATGTCAATCAGGCACCCAGATTCATGACTATCATTTACTGATAGTACGACTTAGCATGACTATTATTGTTATTTAATGTTATTTATTCACCAACCACGCAAATGAATCGTTGATGGAATCCAGGAATCTATGTTTGATGATATTTGTTGGCAATATGTACTGGAATTCATCATCATGATTGATACTATGGTAGAACTGCCATTGGTATCTATAATCAAACATAACAATGCACCATTAATTCAAAATAATACCATGCACTTCTATGATCAATGATATTCATTTTATACTATTACTGCAGCAATTGTACAGATGCATTAGATACTTAGAATTACCAGCCAGTAAATAGAATGTAATGTCACTATTATCAAATACTAGTTAGACAATATTATGTTTTTATTAGTTAGATACCTTTGGATGCTATAAAATACTACCCAGTATTACTATCCCTATTGCTACTAGATACTGATGTTACTCTCCTTATTGCTGTTAGATGATATAAGTAGTACTTTTACCAGCCAGTTCAAATGCTAAAATCATAAGATACTATTACCAGCCAATAGATGCTATTGGATACAATTGGATACTATTATCAGCCAGTTAAAATTATGTAATGTTACTATTTATTACTATTATGTAATGTTACTATTAATATTATATTATTGTCATGTTACTCTCCTTATTGCTCTTAGATACTATAAGTATTACTATTACCAGCCACTTCATATATGTAAAAAACATGGCGTATCTATAATAGTACATGCCCAAAAACCACAGTTAACTATTGGTTAACCATTGGTTAACTATTAACTATTGGTTAACTATTATCTATTGGTTAACTATTAACTATTGGATAACCATTGGATATTGGCCAAGGTCTATGTTAATCTACTGGAGAGTAACTATTGGATACTCTTACCATTTAAGTATTACTATTACCAGCCACTTCATATATGTAAAAAACATGGCGTATCTATAATAGTACATGCCCAAAAAACACAGTTAACTATTGGTTAACCATTGGTTAACTATTAACTATTGGTTAACTATTATCTATTGGTTAACTATTAACTATTGGATAACCATTGGATATTGGCCAAGGTCTATGTTAATCTACTGGAGAGTAACTATTGGATACTCTTACCATTTAAGTATTACTATTACCAGCCACTTCATATATGTAAAAAACATGGCGTATCTATAATAGTACATGCCCAAAAAACACAGTTAACTATTGGTTAACCATTGGTTAACTATTAACTATTGGTTAACTATTATCTATTGGTTAACTATTAACTATTGGATAACCATTGGATATTGGCCAAGGTCTATGTTAATCTACTGGAGAGTAACTATTGGATACTCTTACCATTTAAGTATTACTATTACCAGCCACTTCATATATGTAAAAAACATGGCGTATCTATAATAGTACATGCCCAAAAAACACAGTTAACTATTGGTTAACCATTGGTTAACTATTAACTATTGGTTAACTATTATCTATTGGTTAACTATTAACTATTGGATAACCATTGGATATTGGCCAAGGTCTATGTTAATCTACTGGAGAGTAACTATTGGATACTCTTACCATATAAGTATTACTATTACCAGCCACGTCATATATGTAAAAAACATGGCGTATCTATAATAGTACATGCCCAAAAACCACAGTTAACTATTGGTTAACCATTGGTTAACTATTAACTATTGGTTAACTATTATCTATTGGTTAACTATTAACTATTGGATAACCATTGGATATTGGCCAAGGTCTATGTTAATCTACTGGAGAGTAACTATTGGATACTCTTACCATTTAAGTATTACTATTACCAGCCACGTCATATATGTAAAAAACATGGCGTATCTATAATAGTACATGCCCAAAAACCACAGTTAACTATTGGTTAACCATTGGTTAACTATTAACTATTGGTTAACTATTATCTATTGGTTAACTATTAACTATTGGTTAACCATTGGATATTGGATACTCTTACCATGGTGCCATGGACATTCCATCCTGCTTAGGCTTGAGAGCCTCAAAGCTCGCATCCAACGCTTCGCCAAGAAGCCCCGGAAGCCGCGCAAGGCGGAAAAAGCCGCGGTGGAGCCGACAGCGTCGCCGTTTAGTCCCAAGGTGGGGTCCCATGGAGGCAACGTGGTTAGCCTCTGGGAAAACCATGGGAAAACCATAGGAAAACCATAGGAAAATGGTGGTTTAATGAGGGTTTATGGTGGTTTAATGGGATTTAATGGGATTTACCCTCTGGTAAACTAACATAACTATGGAAAATCCACTATTTTTAGTGGGTAAATCCACTATTTCGACTGGGCCATTTTCAATAGCTATTTTGACATAACCAGAGGGTAGCAACGGGGTGTTTTGTTGGCATCCAACAAACATATGGATGGATCCTTTTTTTTAAATGATTTATGAGAGATTACTAGATCTGATAAGTTGGGGTCTTAACCTAGATCTAGGGGGATATGGAACGGGTATCTACAACGAGTGGTTATCATATCAAAAAGGTGATTATATATCATTATGTTGTTTATATCATGCGGTAAAGCCAATAACTAGCGTCATGTTCACTTTAGAGAATGTTTTATACCAGCCATTTCTGCCAAAATTCGGGATGGTCCATTGTTGGGTTTACAACATGGATTTCGAATCCCAAAATGGGTTGCAAGCACGTGGATTTCACCAATAAATCGTGTTCCCTTTATCAAGAACAGAAGATTTCTTCCCTTCCAGACGAGAGTCAATACATCGTGAATCACAATAAATAATAATTAATAATAATAATATATAAATATATATATAGTATATGTATATATATGTATATTAAATATGTGTATGTATAATTATATTATTCAACTTCTGCAGAGGACCACACCTCTTCATAGCTCTCCCGCAGGATGTGGACAAGGCAAAGCCTCCAGCCGCTCCAGCCGCCGCGCCAGCCGCGGCGCCAGCGCCTGCAGCAGCGCCTGCCGCAGCAGCCGCGCGGCCGCCACCTGCGGCGGCATTGAAGATGCTGGGCATTTATAGTGAGTTTTCCCATTGAAAATGGTGATTTTCAATAGCTATGTTAAATTACCAGAGGGTACTAACTTAGACAAGATATACAGGATATATATATATATAATAGATATGTGATGATGATATTCAATTAGCATCAATTAGGGTATTTGACGATGATATATGTATTTGTCAGCTGAAACTTGAGTAAGTATCAATAATAGTTATCAATGGATTGCCCCAGAATCTTGGATATGTTGTTGTTTTTCAATACGAGTTGTTTGTTTTATCAGTCAGTAACGTGTTCATGATACAGTAGTTGATATTTGGGTAAATCGTGATGGCATCATCACTATAGTCGTGCCAAGATGTGCCAAGCAAGCTGTCTACCATATTTTTTTGACCACAATCAACCATCCAATAGTTTACCCTCTGGTAAACTAACATAGCTATGGAAAATCACCATTTTTAATGGGAAAACTCACTATAAATGGCCATTTTCAATAGCTATGTTAAATTACCAGAGGGTATGTCATTCACCACTTATTTTGAAGCATATATGGACATCCCCACGACTTGGATAGCAACACATAGGCATTACTAATATTACTAATGTGTGTGTGTGTACCTCGTCAACAGTTTGACAGCTGACGTCATCCAATTGATATTGATAGCGATATATATATATACACATATACATATACATACATATATATATATATATTTACATATATATATACACATATACATATACATACATATATATATATACATATATACACATATACATATACATATATATATATTTACATATATATATATATACACATATACATATATATATATATATACAGGTCATATTTGGATACTAAGTACACCTGATGCTGCCAGTGGACCCAATTTCAGCCGGTCTCCACAAACTTGTCAGCCGGGAGTTGAGAGATGACACCCTTTTTGGAAGATGCAGGTTGGTTGGACCTCAGACACAGGAGCAATCCACGAAGATCTCTTGATGTTGATGCAGATGACCATATAGATCAACAGATATTCTTGATATTGAATCAACAAATTGACACAGGGTCACTATTGCAGATGATATTCAGATATTCTGTGATGCAAGATAGTGACCCAAAAAAATAGATTGGCGATGATGGATTTGAAACATCCATAAGAACTTATTGAGACTGAGATATAGTGCGATATATCCCTGCAAATTGCCAGTTCGCTGCCCAAAGTTTTCTGAACATCCTACACGCCCTCCAACGATCAGACTGTAGCAAGGGCAGTCGGATCATGACTGGAAAAATCATTTGTAGCCATGGAGGTGAACCACTTACTACCCTCTGGTAAACTAACATAACTATGGAAAATCACCAAATTAATGGGTAAATCAACTATAAATGGCCATGTTCAGTAGCTATGTTTGTTTACCAGAGGTAAGTGGGCATATCCAAGATCAGACTCTTGTCTTACGTTTGTGATTTGCGTGAACATTTGCCCAGAAAACTAGAAGAAGCGTGGTCAAATATTTTGTCGTGATGTTGTGACGTGAACAAGTCAATGTGTACAGTATCCCGTAGGGCTTGAATTTCGACCCATACCCATATGAGACTCATTACTGTCCATTTTTCGGGGGCAAAAAATATACATTATATATATATATATAGATGGATCGATATATTATGTCTACATTGTATATATATATATTATGTGTGTATATATAATATGAGTGTATATATAATATTATAGGATATATATATATATATATCATCCTGGGGGGGTGACCATATATATATGATACATATATATATATATTATGTAAACTCCCATAGACTTGGCGACACATTCCCGGATTCGTTTTTGTGGCTTCATTCATCCCAAGAGAAATCCCTGGACATTGCCCCTACTTCCGCCAGCTGGGTGAACCAACCCAGAAAAGTATGATTTCTATGGTAATAGAATCCCCTATGATCTGGACATTTGATGAGTTTCGCATGATGTCTTAATTCTAATTTCCGTATCATAGGGGATGTTGTGTGAATTTCCATATGAATGGTGTTTTAGGGTCATTTCATCACTGTTTTTTAAACGGTCGTTGTAACATGAAATTATTCACCACACACAGTGTCCACCGCCCTGCAGCCAAGGAAGTCGTTGGCAGATGCCTATTTCTCGAAGAAGGCGATGCGCCTTTTCCGGATGACAAGTGGCGATTTCTCTTGATTCAACCAATGAGAAATTATGAAATAAACATATGTTGATTTGAGTATGAAACACAGGGATCTCTCTCAATTCTTTCGCCGTTTTTTGAGTACTCTCCCATCTTAAGAGACTTTGGAATTAGGTCTTGGAATTTCACCAATTTTTCACCAAAGGGGAAGAGATATGACATGTCAGCATCAAAAATCAAAATGCATAATTTTCACCAAACAAACTACAAAACATGTTTTTTTGGTTGATTTCAACAACGTAAACAGTTTCTTTGCTCTCATTTTGAGACTCATAGGTGAATTCAGCAGGTTTTCACCCAGTTTCCACCAGCCTTTTGGTAATTTGATCTGCAAAGTGGCGACACGAAGCATTGGTGGATTTGTGGAAAACCATCCGTTGAGGTCGGTGAAAAGTCGCAAAAAACAACATTTTCTGGTTGATTTTAAGTTGCTTAAATTAATTCATTTAGTTAGATGGTTTGCATTGTTTGCATGCCCATTTTTCATCCTTTTTCCATATCTGGTTGGTTGGTGGATGTTTATGGTTGGTTCCAACATCAGGCAGAACTGGATAAGCAGAAGGCCTTACTACAGGAGAAACTGCAAAAACGACAAGCGCTGGTGAGGGCTCCTGGATACGGGGCAAGCTTGGGGCAGTTTGGGTCGGGGCTTTCCATAAATGGGGATCCCCAAGAAATGGATGGTGATCCGAGTGGAAAATCCCAATCTAAAATGGATGATTTGGGGGTAGCCCTATTTTAGGAAGCCACCATTTATATCCATTGATTCGATTTATATCCATTGATGCCATTGATATCCATTGATTGCAGCTTGGTTTCTGTGAATATGGCGTCTGAAAATATTGGACCCCCGCAAAGGGCAATGAATCATTAGGGATAATTCACGGATTGAGCGGTAGCCTATTTTCAGAGAGACCCAAATATGTTCTGGTTGGTGGTTTCAAACATTTTCTTATTTTCCATAATATATGGGAATTATCATCCCAACTGACTAATATTTTTCAGAGGGGTGGCTCAACCACCAACCAGTTTTTTTTGCATGTTTAATTAGTGTATACATGTTCAACATGCGTATCCACTTGAGAAGCACACACACACAATTTTATATGGGATTGTTGGAGTCGCAACAGGGATCCGGCCCAGATACCCCATTTTGTGCTGCGGTTGATGGTGCGTTTGAAATAATATGTTTGCTAAATGGGTTTGTCAAAAAAAAAGTATAGTATAATATACCCGCGAACGGCAAAAATTAGCGGGGAAAATGATGAACATCCATCCGATTCAGGGGTATCTAAATCATATGGGATTTGTTTTTTTTTTTTGCCCGATGTATTTCTGGTCAAACATGATGTTCGTTGATTTTCCTCACCCAAACGGCATTTTTTTCGGGCATCCCATGGTTTCCCAAGGCTAAAGCCCAAGTGATGGACTTGGAGTCGGGCGAGTCAGGCCAACTAGATGGCGACAATAGAGGAGAACTTGATATGTTGCTAGGAATAGGTTTCATACATAAGAATATATCATTATATATACGTATATATACATCAAAATAATTCATACATACATTAACATTATATATATATAATATCATATGATATAATATTCGTATATATATATATATATACATTTAATACATAATAATACATAATATATAATTATATATATATATATATTATATATTACAATGTACCTAACTTGATTGGCCAGGTTTGTTTTTTGGGGCCCCAATCTTTCGTCAGATCCAAGGGCTCCCAACCTAGCAACTCCCCGTATCGTGTACCCGAAATGGTTATGTAATGGTTTATAGGTGATATACGGTTTATAGGTGATATATCTATAGTGAATGGGATAATGGGATTATAACCAATTTTTACTATTGGTAAATTAAACCGTTTGTTTCTCTCTTTTTTTGGGATGCTATATCTTCATAAGAATATCGAAAATCGGCTTCCTCGAAAATGGCTTTCCTCGATGCAAATGACCATAGGCATCAATTGGGGAGTCTTTACCAGTGGCAAACCCCAAAACATCAATCCCATTTGAGAAAAGACATGTCCAGTGGGATCCCTTTCGTCTAGGGTCACCATGGTTGGTAAATCCCACCCATCTAGCTGAGCAATGGATGATTTGGTAACCGTTTGAGCGTCCCTTTTTGGGGGCTTGTTATTGCCGGTTCTTGAGCCCGAACCCCCGGGTACCGCTTGGGGAGTCCTAACAAAAATGGGGGTGGGGGTATCCAAAAAACCGTTTGGGCGTGTTTGAAAATGGAGTATATCCCCAAAAAATAGCTAGGGAAAATGATGATAAGGTATATTTGCAGAAGGTATATCCCACAATAGGGTACCATATTTTCAGACACCACTTGGATGCCCCCCTTGGATCATCCATTGCTGCAGGCGCTGTGTAGAGCGCTACCTGAGTTGTGCCATGAAAAACTGTGGCTGTGCGCGCTTGGTTGGTGGCTTTATTTAGTCTGAAAATTGGTGACAACATTCCCATTTTTAATAGGCAATTAATGACAAACTAATACAAACTATATAATTATATATATATGTATATTATATATATATATATATGAACCTTTTGGGGTAGGCTTGAAAGACATGATCATGGACCCCAAGAAAGTGGTTTGTTCTTTGGATTTGTCTCAGAATTAGTTCACTTTTGCAAGTTCATGGGGACGTTTTTGACTCAGATAACGTTTCCTCAAAAATAGTTGGTTTCTTCCACCCAGCCGCCATGACACTGGCTGGATCATAAGAGGACGGAGATCGAACATGGATGAAATCAATGTTGAACTCCATTTCAACATCCATCAACTTCAACATCCATCAAAAATCATCCAAACATCAATTCAACATCTATTTACCATCCATTTCAACATCTATTTGCCATCCATTCACCAAGCATTGACCTGCGATCTTTCTGCGACCGCCCTGCCAGGTGGACTTTTTCGCCAACTTGGAGGGAGCACCGGATCTGCAGGCCATTGGATTGTCAGGGGATTTGTTTTATCTGATAATCAGGGGATTTTGTTGGGATTTTCATGGGATTTTCAGGGGATTTCAACCAACAACATTAACAACAACAGCGAGAACAACAACAACAACAACAACAGCAACAACAACAACAACAGCAAGAACGAGAACAAGACACATTTACACTTTTCGTTCATTATTTGTCATACAAACCTTCGGTATCATCAACTCATCAACCACGTCTAGCTGCTAGAAATCCTTCGAAAGGATGTTCTTGGTTTATCAATGGGATGACATATCCCAATGAGATCCTGAAAATGCATGGGTCTGGACCAAAATGACATGTCCATTTCCGTCGTTGATGCAAATTTTCTTCCCATGTTTATTGATTAAATTGATTTGTTATTGGTAAATACTGACTGTCATATCTCGGCATATTCCGGCTTTGATCCCGCAATATGCCAACTGTATCCCAATGTGTCTTATTATATCCTTATCATTACTTATCATGTTTTTTTTAGTTATTATCCCAATGTTGTTATTATTATATCCCTATTATAGCAGACCAAAATGATATTCTGACTCTATTTGTTGGTCATAGTCCATTTTCATAGTGGTTGTTTGAACCTAGGGTACCCCCAAATCGCATTCATGAGCTTCACTAATGATGATTTCAGGGCTACCCTCTGGTTATGACTAACATAGCCATGGAAGCCATGGCCCATTGAAATAGATGGTTTACCGTTCTTCAAAATGGTGGATCTTTCCATGGCAAACTGTAACAAATAACCAGATGGTAATGATCCCATAGATATACCCATAGAAACCCAATTTTCTATGGTTTCTATGGGGAGATCATCGTAATTTTCCGACAAAACCAGAAACCAATGATATCCCCATAGACTGCGTACGCATTGAGCCTCGCTGCTTCTAACACCCCAAGGGCCGGGGGTGCGATTTGTTGTGCAGGTTATGGTGAATGCCAAAGACGTGCGCACGCCGCTTTTCTGCGCCGAGAATGACCAGGGAGATCTCATGGTTTTACTGCGATAGAATAGTTGGTTCAATGGGGATAATGTTAGCATTCAACCAAGAAAACTAGGGATTGACATGATCAATGCATTGTCCATTGGTCCATGGAACTAATCTGAAATAATGAGGGTTGTAGCTCAGCAATCAGCAACGGGCTATGTACAATTTTTCTCCGATCCAACGGGGACCCCCAGATCCAACTCGCCGTACGGCTCTTGAGGTGTATGAAGAGCCAAAGTCTACGAAGTACTTTCGAGTCTGTCGCTGTCACAGTACTGGCGGCTAGGGTGCGGGTCGTTTTTTTTTTTTAATGCACCCAAAAGTCACAAAGCCATTTTGTACATTCTTGTATTATGTTGTATTTATTCAATCAACAGTTGTTGACACTTATGTTGTATTCATTCAAACAATAGTTGTTGACACCCCCAAATCCGAGATGCACGACCTGCAAATTGCGCCTTGCAGCTTTCTTCACCCAGAATGTTGAGTTTTCGAAAAAATAAATAGCTGTCCAGCCAGAGAAAGGCTCACTCATAGCCTCCATTCATAATCCAACTTACAATCCCTTCCACTGTATATTACTCCCAAATAGAAGCCCTGGCTTATTTTTGTATTGGATCTCTTGATATTGAATTCCCAAATTGATAGTAATTTGTGTTAGATGACTGGGTGATGGGGATAAATCTCGTGTGTTAACAGTTTTATAGGTTTGGCAAAGGGTGATTCCCATCCTTGTATCGGTAAAGCATCATGAACGCCAATCCTCCTAGCAGCTTTCCCCCAACCCATACATGAATGCAATGTCCTTTCAAGATCTCCGTATGTTCTATCTACGAGCTATTTCACAAATACAACACATATGACACATGTAATATATTATTTTATATTATATTATATTATATATACGTGCCTTATGCATGCCCATTTTCCCTGACCTTCCCTTGGCTTCCCGTGGCCCCAACAGCGATCCGCTCCCGAGGTACCAAAGAAGTTGCAGGAACTTGTTGAGGCGGAAGCAGGTGCCAAAGGTGTGCCGAGGGGCTTGGAGTCCCTGGAGGGTTGAGATTTCTTGGATTTATGGTGATCATTTGATCGATCTAGAACACATTTTGGAAAAGCAACTATGAATGGAACTCATATAATGGAAATTTATGGAAGATAACCCCATTTATGGAAATTTATGGAAGATATAATCCCATTAACAGTTATAACCAATGGCCACAGCTGTAATGCTGGCGATTCATCGGGATGAACACCATCAAGGCTCAACCGTATTGCTGGTTACACAGCGTCCAGCCGTATTGCCATGTTGGCTTTGGATATCTCAGTACTTAATTAACTTTAATGGGATTTAATGGGATTTTAATGGGATTTTAATGGGATATATGATGGTTACCCTCTGGTAACTTAACTTGTTGACCCTGAAAATAACACAGTCACTTAGTGGAAACTAATCTTCCAACACCTATCTGGAAGGGTCGTCATGTTAATTTACTGGAGGGTAAATGCTATGGTTAATTCTTGCTCCAGGGACCAATGACATAATGATCACCTCTCTTGTCCTTCGGAGCCATCGTCGCAAATCTCTATGGAGTTACTGGGGAAGCTTCGATCTCATCCAGATGAGGGGATATCATAACGTATCCAGCTGGGAATGATTTTTTGCGCGGTTGGTATCTCAGAGGCGGCCATGTATGCATGGTTCTCAACATTCAATAGACCACAAATCAGGTTGTGACAAAACAACTAGATCTAACTCAAAAAATGGGAATTTCGCCGATTTGAGTATGATGGAGTACGATGCCATGCGACCCAGTTCCTGCATTTTTGACAGCCAAGCAATAGCTGGTTCAGGAGGATTCAGAGGTGCCCCAAACAGGAGAATGACCCATGAGAGATCCCATTTGCCTCGATGATTTAAAAATATTTAATATTATATATTTAATATCTATATGATATCTATCAAAATGGTGATGATTTACCATTCAGAATTGTGATTTCATGCGATTTGCCATAGCAAATCTGTTTTCGAAGTTTCGGAAATCGCTATCGAATCGAACCTCCGGGTTTTTCCCGCAGGTTTGAGCCCCGAAACGCCCTTGGTCATCCAGGCGGCCGGAAGGAACGTGCGGTCACGTCCCCATCACAAAATATAATGGTTGTTTGTAGCGATGGGAAAATAGTTAATAATGCTAGTTGGTGGTTTGGAACATTTTCCATATATTTGGAATGGCATCATCCCAACTGAGCAGAGTTTTTTTTTACAAGTAAAGATTTATATGAAAGTTGACCTGCACATGGTTGGATGTAGGCAGTTTGCTGGGGTGCGTAGGCTGGCGTAGGCATATTTTGCTTCATTTTGCGGCAGACGCCGCGTAGGCGACCGCGGATTCGACGAATTTTGCAGCCTGTGGGTCAAGATTGAAGGGTCTAATGAGTGTAGCTCGATGCGGCATGTGAAATTTCCGCTGTCCAAAAAACACAAGTAATTAGAAGATAGCAACTGTTTTGCTGAGAAACAAAAGCTAATGGAACTATTCCGTTCCCTTTTCTGCAGAGTCTCAAGCCTCGAAGTTTGCATGGCCAAAATCCGAAAATAAAGGAGCTCCCCCGCGTAGGCACCGCGTAGGCGAAAAGTAGGCAACGCGTAGGCGAAAACTCTCATGACCAGGGATGCCCCCAAACATGCTCCTGCAACGTATAATATTATATGTTGTTTCCCTGCTGCCAAGAAGCGACGGCAGAACCAGCGTCTTACACCTGCGGAATCATTTTTTCTTCTTTTACTTCTTCTCCTTCTTCTTCCTCTTCCTCCTCTTACTTTGAGTCATCTGCGGACTGGAAAAAAAACGTGCGCTCAACGTGCTCGATGCATTTTTGGCGAAACAGGTAGTTGCCTAATGTCTTCTCACCATGTAACAACAAATGAATAAGCACATGGCCCTCTTCCTCCTCATTGTTTTTAATGCGATCATTGGATCATGAACAGCTTTGCAAAAGGGTGCGCAATCATACGAAAATGTTGCTGAGACTGTGGGCGCGTAGGCATATTTAGCTAAAAATTGCATAAAACCTCACGCGCGTAGGCCTGCGTAGGCAACCTATCCCCACCCAAGCTTCCGCGTAGGCTGAAATTGTGCGCGCGTACGCGAAATGTAAGCCTCGCGTAGGTACCTATAAAATGATAACACCCTACATCAGAAAAAAAAACACAACTCAACTGACTTTCATATTTTTCAGAGGGATTGAAACCACCAACCAGAATTGTATTATATACTTAATACTGGTATTCTATTTTACATGTTGCCTCTGCAGGGTTTCGTATTGACTCGCACCCCCTTCTGTATATATAGAACATGGTGATGGGACCCAGCATTTCTGGTCTGCATTTCAAGCATTTGCAAATGATAGTTGATAGTTTAATATTACTAAATCTGGTCATAATGGTTTGTGATTATAATGAGCTATAATAGCCACAATGGCTATAATGGTTAGAACCATTCTTGTAGCTATAACCATGATACTCTGGTTATCATATACTGAATATAGCGACCTCACAGGCTAAAGTCACCTTAAAAATGATGGTTGGTATTGGGGAATCATCCCAAACATGGCGATGATTTCGAGTTCAGTTGCCCAGGTGGATGCGGGATGGACTAAAACTTGGAAAAAAACAACGACGAAAGACCTGGTAACCCCTAACGATAGAAAACGTAACGCCTCTCAGTATTGAAGTAGGATTTTGCCAACTTAAAAAACCTGTTTTCTGGGAGTTGCAATTTTCACAAATCGGCCCCAAGTCGGCAAAAATACATGCGGATGGGAACAACCTCGGCAACTTTTCCAGTGGCCCATCATCATTTTTTCCCCATGAAGTAATGTGGGAAGCCCCATGCCATGTTTACCATCCCCAAGTCATCACATTTTTTTCATCGATGCTATGTTTAGCATCACCAAGTCACCAAATAGTAGGTTTATTTTTGGCTTTACCACATGATACTACCATGTTATCTTATTATTCACTGGCCATTTGAGGTATATGCCTTGCTGCCGGCCTCAGGAAGACATTCTGCGGGTTGGTGACATGGTGACTTTAGCTCCTCGGTGGCATGACTAAGGGACTCTGTTGTCTAGATCTAAACATTATGTCATCACACATATTTGTTTTATATTACATATGCCATACATTACATCGATATATTATGATATGTATAATTAATATACACAATATACATGATATGCATGATCTGCATGATATCCATAACATGCAAAGTATACAGAATAAATATAAACCCAATATGCATAATAAAAATACACACAATAAACATAATATGTATATATGTATATATATATATGTATATGTATTTGTATTATGCATAAATGTACACACAATGTAATATATGATACACATATTTATACATGATATACATATTTGTAGTAGACATTATATACATAACATGCATAGTATACAACATATACCCAATATACACGATGTTTGTTTTGTGCTTGTATACATTCTATACAGAATAGACATGATATACAAAACATACATCTTAATTATTCAACATACTTAATATACATGATATATTACGTATGATTATACATAATATGCCTAATATATCATTGATGTATCACACTATATAAAATATCATTATATATAGATAATTTTATATTTCATTATATATCATTATATATTACTACATATCAGTACATACGTGTGTTTCACATTGATTAATCCCTTCCCCCTAATTCAAACAATCCCCAGAAACCATGGTTTACTATGGTTTAGTTATGTCGTTGCTGTTGACACTTGTTCCGGAACCATTTAGCGTGTGTCTCATATCAGAGGCTTGGGATTATACATGTAACAATATAGATCTATATAATTCATATTCTACTTTAGGCTGAATATATGTACATTACAGTAATGTACATATATTCACCCGAAAGTAGAATATGAATATGTGTTTGAATCAGTTCATAATGTTTGATCTACTGACACTGTAGATATATATATATATACATATGTAAATAGATACATACAATCGCAATAAATGTGCATTCAACATGAATTCCCCATAGATTCGTTGTTTTTTTCGCAGAGGTGGGCGACCTGCACCGTGACGCCGCCGGCCGCCTGATGTGGCTGACCTCAGGGAAGTGGTTCGTCTTTGCTGTTTTTGAAGCGTTGATGCAATTAATATTATGGCCATAATATTCTTTATAACCATAGCACCATACGTTATATCGCCATCTTGTTTGGTTGAATCAGGTTAAATCCGATGAAATGCGATGTTACCCTCTGGTAAACGGGCTAACATAACTATGGAAAGATCCACCATTTTCAATGGGTAAATCCACTATTTCTATGGCCATTTTCAATAGCTATGTTAAATTAACAGAGGGTAGCAATAACAATTCTATATTAACAATAATGGTTTATATTGTTTATTTCTGTTTTTTTTGCAAAAATGTCTATGGAAAACCCTTACAAATGGAGGCTTTTATGGGAAATTATCTGTAAATGGCCCATTTTCCATAGCTACGTTAAATAACCAGAGGCTAATGTTATTAATTAATATATATTAATATGCATCAGGATGTAATGTTCATTGTGTATAACATGTGAATGTAATTTCATTAATTGTTGAATGTGGTCATGAATGTAACTAGTATCCCACCAGATGTTCACTTTCTTTAATGGGTATGGTCATGAATGCAACTGATATCCCACCAGATGTTCACTTTTGGGTAGCTATTGTCACCGTCACCCGCGATTTTGTTTGTTTATGCGGAGAACTAGTTCTTGATTGCTGAAAGCAGCCTTTGTAAGACATGCTTCGAATTAAAATCATGATGAACAAAATCTACACTTATACATATATATATGTATATATATACACATAAACATGGATTAGGACATGGGTTTGTTTGAAACTAATGTTTATACCACAGCCACATGGATCATGGCTGACTGACCAGCAGATTCCACACATGTTTGCCCAGCTCTAGAGCCCATCGTTTCAATTTAACGATCTATCCTCATGTTATTTAACATAGCGAGCTGGACAATGGCCCATGTATAGACTTATGATGTTTTTGTTTACTTATTCGGTGTTTTTTTTCCCCATAGCCATGTTAAGTAATCAGAGAGTACTATGTAATTATATATATAATACACAATTATACATATTTATATATATATATATATAAAGATAGATAATAGGTACATATGAAATGGTTAATAGGTTCTGTGTAGATCTAACATCAGACATCCACCTTTACTCAATGGGGGAACAAAAACTGAAGCCCTGGACCACAATCCCCTACATCCTCCACTGGGCCATGGGAAACTTGCAGGCCTCCAGCTGCAAATGCTACTGAGAGTGGTGAATTAATCTGAAACAAATCTGGCTTTGGTTTCTGTGGTTCAACCTTCAACTTCAACATGATATGATACTTGTTGTTGTTGTTGTTGTTGTTGTTGTTGCTGTTGTTGTTGTTGTTGGTACAAACAAAGACTGGGGCCCTTAGAACAAGGTCTTCGAGCTTATTTTGGAATTTGCTTTGTGCCCCTTAAGGGTGTCCTTGGAGTTTGGCACCGTTTTAAATAAGAATTTTGGTGCAGACTTTTGGCTCTTTTTTTTACCTCTGTAAAAGCTTCTTGGGCCCCTTTTTGTACCTTTTTGGCGTCGAAATCTGGCAAAAAGGGGTCCAGCAGGTTCGCTTTGTATCAGTGTGATTTTTCAGGTTGCTGGACCCCATTTTGGGGATCCTGCAGCCCAAATCTGGCAAAAAGGGGTCCTGCAGCCTGTTCGTTTGGAGTTCCATACTTTAGCTTTTCATTTTCTAGCCGCTGGAGCCCTTTTTGGGGATCCTGCAGCCCAAATCTCGCCAAAAGGGGTCCCGCAGCCTGTTCGTTTGGAGTTCCATACTTTAGCTTTTCATTTTCTAGCTGCCGAGCCCCTTTTTGTGCTGCCGGCGTTCCGGATCCTCCAAAAAGGGGTCCAGCAGCATCTGATTTCAGATTTCTGCCTTTTTCCTTGTGCTGGACCCCTTTTCCAGCCGTGAGCGGCCGAGACCTCCAAAAAGGGGCGCCGCAACCTGACATCAAACGTGCTGCCACTTGGTTCTTCTCAGTGCCTTTGCCACACATAGAGGCTCTACCCCTGTCAGCTCTCTCGGTTCCTGTGTGCTTGTCTGCTTGTCAGGGTTGCTTTCTTTTGGCAGATCCCTTTCCCGAAACACTGTTCGGAATCACGTTTGCCGAGCACACCTGGCTGGCCTAGCTTAGTTGGTAGAGCAGATGGCCCTTAACCTAAAAGTCGAAGGTTCAACCCCGCCTCGGGTCATGTGTCCTTATCTGCCGCTGGACCCCTTTTCCAGCCGTGAGCGGGGTTGAACCTTCGACTTTTAGGTTAAGGGCCATCTGCTCTACCAACTAAGCTAGGCCAGCCTGGTGTGCAAGGTGTGCTCGGCAAAGGTCATTCCGAACAGTGTTTCGGGAAAGGGATCTCCCAAAAGAAAGCAACCCTGACAAGCACACAAGCACACAGGAACCGAGAGAGCTGACAGGGGTAGAGCCTCTATGTGTGGCAAAGGCACTGAGAAGAACCAAATGGCAGCACGTTTGATGTCAGGTTGCGGCGCGCCTTTTTGGAGGATCTCGGCCGCTCACGCCTCAATAGGGGGTCAAGCG